TTCTTCTGTTCCTCCGCTATCCGCTCTAGCTCACTTTCATGTAGGATACGCTTTCGTTCCCGATCTCTGATACGTTGCTCACGAGTCATGATGCGCGACCGTCTTTCTGTTTCCATCTTCTTGATTCTCTCTTCTTCCTTCAGGGCGGCAGCTAGCTCTTCTTCTCGTTTCCGTGCCGCTTCGGCAGCTTCTCGATCTAGTCGCTCCTTCTCAGCCTTTCCAGCAAGCCTGCTTGACCGTTTCGCACCGGCGAGCAGCTGCAGGTTCAAAAGCTCCTTTTCACGCTTCGCCTTCTGTCGCTCTTGCGCTTCCTCTTCCTTCTCGATCACAGGCAACACTTGCTCTTCAATGCGATCCCTCAAGATCTTCTCGTCCGGGTCCTTCGTTTTCCGAATTGAATCCAGAAACTGGCGGTAGTCTTCTAACGTGATTGCAACACATTCCCATTTCATCCCCTCGTAAGGATCCCCGGCGGCATCTCCATTGATGTTATTATTTTCCTCGCCCGAAGATTCCTCCGCAGCAGCGACCCCTGAGACTTTTCTGCGTTTTGACGCTCTCACAGCACGTGCGCTCTTTCTCTTCGTCTTCGACTTGGTAGGTTTCGGAGGAGGGGGTGGCGGATCAGTACGGCGATAGAGCCGATTGTCATCTAGGATATAATAGTATCTCCCTTCACGATCGTAACCTAGTTCCTCAATGCGCTAATCTGAAGTCAGCAACAAGCGTCAAGCACAAGACCATTCCGAACAGCACTCACCCATTGCGTTTGATCCACCTCCCTTTGCTCTGGCATCTTATCGCGGATGCGATCCGGGTTCCAAAACGTCCATATTGTCAGTTGATGAAGGACGCGAAGCTTCAAGAAGACGTCGAACTCGGAAAACTTATTGGGAACCTCATCGTGCCCGAACGGGTTAAGGAGATGAGGTGCTTTGGCATTATACTGACGTCGCGTGTATTCGTCAAAATTGTCGAATCTAAGGGTAACCGCCAGTGTTAGTACTTCGTGCAAGTTCAAGGGGCTCAAAGCCTGATCACATACGTGAGACCTCGATGCGACGAGATCCATTTCAGAAGGCAGAGTCCAATCTCCAGAAGTTTTTCGGAAGAACCAGGTTTCAAGCATTCTTTCTCTAAATCCTGTGAAATAGTACGAAAAGAAGAGGTTAGCCTCTACTACACGCGACAAGCAAGTTGAAGAAGGGCGGAATAGGCTATTTTATAGATGCTAGTTCGGAAAGATGGCATACTTCAATACCAAAATCCTCATCAATCTTCATAGGTTTGCCGAAGATCGCAATATACTGCATAAGATTTGCGAACTCCCAGCAATTCCGCAGTCGGTGCAGCAAACCAGACTCCTCAGGTGGCTGCTCCGGAGCAGCGTCGGCTTCGGAACGGGTGCGCTTTCGCGATACCATGTCGGCGGTTCGAGCGCATGAACGGCGCCGCAGCACAGGACCGAATTTCGAAAATCACGGTTTTGCTATTGTGCGATGTTTGTTTTCTTGTAAGCAAGAGGCCAAATATGTATACGCGAGAGAAATATTGTCAGGGGCTCAATTTCAATCGAAGCAAATTATTGAGACGCAGTGGCGGAACACAGGGCGGGATTTGCCAGGGCGGGCGTGTCTGCGAGATGGAGATGAGCTCACGGGGCGCGTCGAGACTCCGCCCGTCAGGTGATTTCCAGTGTTAGCGAGCTCTCCGATAAAGTGCTCTTTTAGATCTCTACCACGTAAGGAGTCAAGGATAGTCCCCAATACTCAAATTCTTATTAAAAAAATATATAGAGCAAATATATGCAAGGCAATGTTTTACCTAATTAAAGGCAGTAAGAATAAAGACAAACCGTGCCTCAGAATTTGCAGACCAGAACGTCTTCCACTTGTACATACAATCCCAACGCATGAATCAAAACCTAGATTCTGGTATCTCGCTCAAAGAGGGTCTATCTCATTCAGATGGAAAATGAGGAAAGGGATCATCAGGGACAAGCAGAATGCACAGAAAAGACAGCGCCATCCATATCCACGCCACCGTACAAGCCTATACCATTATGACCGAAATGGGATAAAGGAGGAAAAATCGCAGACCCATGCGGAAAAAAAAAAAAGAAGAACAAAAAAATGCGACAGGAAACAAAAAAAAGACAAACTTTGTTACATAGTGGTCTCATAAATCCCCAACCCGGTGCTCCTCTCCCAATCTTTTTTCTTTCTTCTTGGTTTTACCGTTATTTTGCCATTTTCACACATTTGCGCCTTATGACCCAGATTCGCCTTAGACCGTCCCATGCATATCGTAAGGTTGTCAAATATACCAAGTAATTCAAAACGGAAGCAATGCTTTTTCGACTTTTTACATAGCAACACCCGGAGCGCCATCGGAGACATTATCGGAAAGATTGATAAGAAGCTGTGCGAGACAACGTTTCGTGGCTGCATCATCACGGAGGACGGAGGAGAAAGTGGCGTCTCGCAAAGGCTCGGGAAGGCATTGGCGCAAGGCCTCACGCGCTCTGCTGTTATCACTCAGGCTACAGATAGTTAGGCACTGTTCACAAATGCAAGGTATTGTTTAGCCGTCGATCATATGTGGCCTGAACTTACCGAAGGAAGCAGCGCACGACGTGCTTCAGAAGCCTTACGGTCTGCTGCTCCACGAGCTGGGTGACCATGTTGCTCAGGACAGTCCCCACAGCATAGAATCTCTCGTATGTCGCACATATATATGCAAGACCAATATCATCGAGTAGGATTTTCTGCACAATAAAGATAGCAACTGTTTTGCTCAACTCCGAACCGGTTTCCATGATACGGAGGCAGAGGGGGATAATCTCGGTTGTGAGGAGGAAGTTAATGACATCAGAAGAGTCATTCTTGACCAACGCTCCGATCACACCAAGAGAGGTGAGACGAAGGTACTCGAACGGGCGAGACTTGGAGGTCGTATTCAGGAAGGGATAAAGAAAAAGGGGGATGTGAGCTGGAGGAGTGTTTGCGTCAGTCAATAAGCATTGCAGACAAGCATGAGCTGCTACGTACCGTTCAGAAATAGCGTGCGGGTCTCATTGTGGGAGGCGACACATTGCAACAGAGCCAGGGCGTTGCAGACTCGATTCGAAGCCGCAGCCGTTAACTGAGAAGGGTTCAACAAGGGGTATACAGAAATGATCTCCTGAAGCAAAGCAGTCATGACGCCTACAAGAACAGAATCGTTAGCACCCATGAAGTCAAAAAATCGCCACATATAGGAGACAGCTCATACCAAACGAATGCCAAATGACAAGCGCTAACTCAGGAACCTGCTCTCGCTTCTTACTTAGTTCCATAAGAGCAGCTTCTCTGCGGTTCGGATCCAAAAGCTCAGCAACCCAGATGAAAACCTTGCGGTTCTCATCGCTGATCCCACCATCCATCACCGATACTGCGCCTGGGAGAGCGCCATCCCCGCTCAATCCTCCAGCGCCCGCACCCTGTGTTGGGTTTCCAGCAGCAGGATTGCCGGCCATAGCGATGCGATTATAGTGTTGTTGCTGAGCTGCGGCGGCTGCTGCCGCAGCGGCCTGCACTTGGGCATGTTGTTGGGCCACCAAGGAAGAATGCTGTTGCTGGGCTTGGTGTGGGTGGTGCTGGGCTTGATGGTGCTGCTGCTGCTGTTGTTGATGTTGCAGCCAGGAGGGGTCAGCGGGGTATTGATGCTGATGAGAAAAAACGTGCTGAGTCTGCGTCTGAAGCATGACGGGCTGGTGAAGGATCGGGGACTCGTAATCCTCAGGAGGACAGTAGTGGCTGTTCTGAGCGACCGGAGACAGATACAAGGAATGAGACGTCGAGGGAAAGGTTTCTATTGTCAAGGAATTGTACCTGAAACTAAATTCATGAATGACAGTTTTTTTGTCGTGGCTATTTGCTTGAGGGTTGAATATGGAAGTGCGCGATTCGGTGTGTTGAAGAATGAAGTGTGAGCGATGGATGGAGAAGTCGAGGAAGTTCCGGACTACGGGAGGCGGGGAGAACGCAAGTTCCGGCCGAGCATTGACTTGATGCTTTAAATCCGTGCGCGGCCCGTTTAAATCGTCTCAAGTCACTCAAGCTTCAACAGTCAATTGCCCCTTTAAGTAGGGTTGATATTGATAGTATAACTAAGACCGTTCCAACCCAGAAATTCTTTCGTCGGCCATGGTTTTCGGTTTTACTCTAACTTCAATTGAAAATGATCAAATGAAGCGTCTCCATAGCATACAATACTAAGGTGCCGATGTCCCTCTGTGGACTCGCCGCCTTGCACGTTACACAGGATGTCGCACGAGTTCTTCCGGCAGATGCAGGTTACTATTGCGGTGGCTTCGAGCAGAGGGACTCGGTACCCGTCATTACGGTGCAGAAAGTGCCTGACCTTGCCCACCCCCTCAGTCCTCCTGTCAAAAGCCCTCGACCTGCATTCATATCTTTTGGTCTGAGCGCAATATACTCCGATTCCTGCGGCTACATGCAATTGACCTATCCAAACGATCCCTATCAAGACTTTTCAATACTCAGTGTCTCACATAATCGCCATTGCACTATTTCGTATTTACATCGTTCCTTCATTGACCCATTCGGAATATATCCGAAAACAAGGGGGGATAATAAAAAGAAAAGAAAAAAAAAAAAAAAAAAAAAAAAAAAAAAAAAAAAAAAAAAAAAAAAAAAAAAAAAAAAAAAAAAAAAAAAGTGGATAGGTCATTAGGACATGAATACATAGCTCGTCATCATACATATCGACTTGAGGAAGAAAAAAGGGAGAAAAGGGTACGGGATTTGACGCAAGTAAGGCCACAGAAACATGGTGATACAAACAACACAAAATGCCAAACCAGCGCCTTTCTATGCTTGAGGGGGAACCAAAAAAGAATATGAAAGGAAAAAAACGTGGCGAAAACGAAAACAGAAAGTCATAAATAGGTTCTTAGTCTTGTGCGACTCATTAGTGGATTTCATTGTATCACCTCGTTAATCATGACCGTCGTGAGCGCGTGCGAGATCGTCTGGATTGCCTAGTGTCCCTTGTCCGTCTCGTTCGCCTATCCGAGCTTGCACTACCTATAGAGCAGTCAGTAAGGGCTATAAATCCATTAGTGCCAAAAGCAGAGGACACATACTTGCGCTGGTGTAATAATCAGAGTAGTAGTATGAGCTCGGGTAAGTGTAGTCGCTCTTCTCATCCTCGTGGTCTCTGCGCCTCCTCAGTCCCAGACATAGAGCAAGCGCACCCAACATGATTCCAAGAGTTGCCAATCCACCCCATTTCTTCCTTTCGCCACCTTGGGGCGCCGGAGCTGACGGACGCGAACCGAACCAGGTACGTCCTTCAGGCCTGCCGCCATGCGCATGATGGGAATACCGGTCTTCCACATATGTGGTCTCCTTTCTTCTTCGTCTACCACCAAGACCCAGGCAAGCAAACAAAGCTTCCAGAGCTCCGCGACAACACAGGCAAGCGCAAAGAAGCAAAAGAAGAAAGACGCCAGCAATTGTTCCGATGACGATGCCTGCGATTGCTCCACCACTTAGTCCTCCATTGTCTGGCGCTTTTTCACCAATGAGTATGGCTCCGTCGGTGCCGACAGGAGCAACAAAGCCCTGTGTGGTTGTTGCCGATGCAGTCGCAGTGATGGTAGATGCACTTGTGCCTCGTACTGGAGGTGTAGCGGTAGCGGTGGCCCAGATTGACGAACTTCCCATCACACATTGGTTGTTGGAACAGACGTACGCCGCACCACAACAGGTGTTTCCGCAAATGGTCTCGCCCAGTTCGGCCTTGCAACTCCCTGAACCACCTCCGGCAGTCGTTGTATGTCCTACATAGCTGCTCCATGTAGAGGTAATTGTCGCCACATCGGTTTCCGTGGTGACGAAGGTTGTGGTGAAGTACTGCCAGCTGCCACCAGAGGAATCTGCACAGACTGCCTGGCCATTGCTATCGGTGCTACACGTCTGACCAGAGCTGCAGCAGAGTTGGCCATAATAGCCACAGGAATTCGCGCAGCGCTTCTCAAGGCCGGCCTCCTCAAAATCCAGAGGGGAAGCAGCGGAGCGCTGAACTTGCGCCAGTAGGCCCAGTATGGAAATCGCTGAATGTAATATGCGAGAAGTGTGCATGGTGGACGGAGATGTGTGCTGGGATCACGAGAAGAATGCCAAACTCGCTCTGTCCCTCTCCAAGCCCGATCAACCACAAGCAATGTCGATGAATATTATTCAAACTGACTAGACCGGTCACCCCGGACTATGTATGGGTCGGTATCGATAAGAGCTTGTAAACGAAGGACAACAATCTTCAACTTCGTAACCACGTCAGAAAGAATGTCAAAGCAAGCATGACAAGCAAACAGTGGCAGAAGAATTCTGAAGAAAAAAGAATGAGGGGGTGGATGAGGGGGGGGGGAAATCCTCGTGGTGACCAAGAGACGGTAAGTGACCGTCAGCTTTTGCTTTGAAGCCCTGTCTCCCAGCCTCCCGTATAGTACCCAACCACCAGGATTTTCTGCAACAAAACAACAGCAACAGCCAATCGCTACCTCTACACAAGAAAAAAGGCTCCAATGAGGTACTGACATCAACGTTTACTCATTGATAGGAATTTCTAATTTTTCCTTCATTGAAAAAGAGGGGGCTGGGTGAGTACCAGCTTTTTCCTTGTCTTTGATCTTATCGTCGCAATGCATTGGACGCTGTGCCCCTCACTGTATTGGAGAAACGGCAGAGACATGACTCAATCAATCATCGCCCTCGCTGACCATTTTTGCCTTCCGTCCCTGACACCAGTTTCATACTAATTCCCCATTAATACCAGCGGAACAAAGATGGAACCTGAACTAAATCGCGCGTTGAGTAACTCGAGTCGGTGTGCGAGGATCCCCCACTTCCATTCGACACATCGATCTATAAATTCACACCTGAGGTATCTATTCGAGTGGCCCCACGCCGAGTCTGTCGTCGCCAATGCAAAGGCTAAGCTACTCATACTCCATCTGTGCCTGTGTGTTGTCCCGTCACGCTTTAGTGCCTTGCCAGCAAAGCAGATGAATCAGGGACAACACACACCGGTGGAAGATTATCCGATGCTATGGTCCAGACTAGTCTTTTTTCTAGCCTAGTTACTCATGCATGAAATTAGCGCAAGCAAATGTACGATGGGTGTATTTTAAGGTGTTCGGTACACTATTCATGACAATGAAGCGGTGTGATGCCTTGTATGTGTCAGTATTCCGTCCTCTTTGTGCGTGCCTCATTGCCTGGTACAAAGTCTCAAGTTAATTCATTCCCGGTCATCAGTATATCCTTATATGGTTCAGACAGTCATGTAAGGATCTTGTGTCCCCTAATCCTAACTAGATATGTACATACATAGACGCCAAAGAACAGTAGATTTACACCTTAGCATAGCCTTCGAACATAACATCATTCAATCATCCTTTCCGAAAGAAAAGCATACGACCTTAAATCAGGCAACAGTCCAGCCATAGGCTTTCCGGCAGTATCTGCACGAAAGACGTCCCGTTCGTTTGATTTCCAGGAGATCAATCTGCTGTAACATATAGGTAAAAGAAAAAGAACAAAGAAAATATTTTCATATCGCATATCCACCATCAAGAAATGTAAGAGCATCAACGCTGATCAAATAAACATACCGGCCAAGCCAATGACCATGCCAAAGACGAGGTCTTCCAGACTCGAGGTCCGTCCCGGGGGTGCCCGATTCATGTCTCCGGCTCCAGTAGCATATGTGTCGCAGTAGCCCAGATTGAGGCCATGACAGGCATCCATACTCAGGCTGGAACAGGTAGAGACTGCTCCGGCTGCCCCTCCGCCAGCTCGGGTTACACCTCCACCCTCAGCTGCCACCGTGACTGCATAGCCTCCGCCTAAACTCGAGAGACAACCAGTATACTCACTTTGACACAAGGAGTAGTATGAGGAGCATACACCGGCGTTAGGGAACGTCGTCGGTACATAGATAAACGGATAAGCGCCTGGCATCGTCGACCCAGTAATAGTAGCAGCATTGGGTCCCGTGGTGGTCATAGAAGCAGTTGCGGTTCCTGGAAATCTGAAGGTGGTCGAGGCAGAGGTGGAGTCTCCGGTAAGAGAACCTGTACATTTCGCTCCAGTCGGACAGCAGGCAATATTGTCGGCGGCGTCGCGAGAGCAGACAGAACCTTGTCTGCAGCAGACGTCGGATCTACCCATGTTGGAGCATGGGTCATACCCAGCCGGACAGCTGTCAGCCCGCTTTAATATACGCAAGACTTCATATGCCCTTTTGTTTGCTTCTGCGGATTGCGGAGGAGAAAATGGCAACGTCTCTATCGATAATACAGTCGAGGCGAAGAATGCGGCCGAGATCCACCCAAATACCTTCATTCTAGCGGCTAGGGCTAGAGTCCGCCCACTGAATTGTATGTAACTCTTGAGATCGGCGTTCGGCTTAGATTTCGATTAGGATTCTTGGTGTGATCGAGTGTTGTGTGGTATGCGACAGTAAAAATACCATGCGGTCAACAAACTACTGAAAGCGGCAACCGTAGTGTTAGTGGGTGGTTGAAAGACTTGAAACAAAGCAACATCTAAATTGACGGGTATGTATGAAAAGCAACTCACACTCAGTGGCTAAATCCCAACTCCAGATATCTTCGAGAACGGTCGGCCACGGTACCGGTGACCGGAGTCGGGTGGATGATGTATTCTGCATCGGGCTGTACTTGTTCTGGTAGTTAGGCGCAATCTCCACCGAGATCCCTGCCACAGCAACCGCGTGTCCACCCATTGTCCAACCACCTGCTTGGCTATTAATATGAACCTTTGACATCAAGGTGCATGTCTCAATAAAAAATACTCTGCTACAGCTCGTGCAGTTTTACCTCTGTTTCTTCCGGTTCTCATACGTGGAAAAGGGAAATTTTAAAAAGAAAACACTGTAATGGGCAAAAACATTTTCTTACATATCGTGTCTAACGTTCAAGGTTACTTTCCGAACACCGAACTCTCAAACAATGCATGCTTTTCAATCTTTCCTTTTGCTGAGTTTCGCACGCCATGTAGTTCTTGGATATGACTTTCTTAACCTTGGAAAGTGACTGTGTCAAAATAGCACGTCGCATTATTTGTCTAAGCGTTGAACCACCGAGGCACTAAGTGGTACTTCTTAACAGAAACACTCTATTACCAAATTCAACTTTATATATCTCCATGGGCTTCCCGGATAGGTGGTTTTAAATGACGCCATGAAATCTGATCCAAACATTACGCCCGACTCGGCACAGCTGCTATGGAAGCCCGTATCTTAGTCGAGCCTGCAATCCGGTCTCCGTCGGAACTCCTGTCTGATCAGTCTACAATGCGATAGTCACTGCTCCGTACTAAAATGTGTAAAACCGTTACATATGTTGCCAGTCGTATGACACTTAGACAATTACTTAGGGTCAATGAATGGGTATGCATAGAGAGGGAGAGAGGCTATTTCAGTGTTGAGCTATTTGATTCTACTACCTTTTCTCAATCCTAAATGGTGTAAGTGCTTGACAAACTGCAACGCTCAATATAAGTGCAAACCAGGCTTTTACAAATACCGACTTGTTCTTCGTTCAGGCATCCACACCGTACGGGCCAGAAATCCTCTCCAGAGCCAGGAAGATCCTTCAAAATCAACACGGCATTCAAGCGCAGCGCTGCAAACTCGTCATAGTAAGTATATTGCTCACTGCACATGAGGAAACATCATACTTCTGGGAGGGATGAATTCTCAGCTACCGTTTATATTTTATGAGGCCACCAGAGTTGTTGGAACTGAGGAGTCGTACGCAGGACCGAGGGCAACGAGACGACGGGCAAGGCAACCGAGTCAGTGCTATTTTCTTTAAAAAAACGTTCTATCACAATACTAGAGCCTAAAACTACTAGGTAGGAGATAAACCTTGCTGAGAAAGTGGGTAAATAGTGAACTTGGCCTGCAAATCCCTGTCAACTAAGCGACACGATCACCCCCGGACAGAATCAGACGACCTCCGCCTCATGGCATGCCAAATTATTCAGGACATTCGGTGATGGCAAGGGCATTGAAACCCAGTGATTTTGGCAGTTGATACGATGTGCACTAACGTGGTCTTACTCCAATACAGTTCATCGCTTATCCTTCCAAAAGTGTTTCGGCTCTGGGGACAAGGTAGACGCATTCAGTACACATTTCACAATGACCTGCGCAATGTCCGATCAAGATCATATTGTGCTCAGGTAGCTTGCTTGCGAGCAAGTCTTGAGCTCACTTTGACAGAATTATTTACGAAATCTCAGATCAAATTGGATTTCCTACCTTACGAATTAACAGCTTTCTGAGGGATTGCTTATAGGAAATCTTGAATTCCACAATTTGACATTACTACACTTTCTAAACCATCATTAGCACTTAGTTATTCTGGAAGGAGTTTAAACATGTACTTTTTAGGCTTAAGGTCAGTATATTAATGGGGAATCAAGAGACTATTGAACAGGAAGTCCCTGTGGCGGCATGTGACTGAGGGGAATGTCATCACATCTCAACTCTATCACCGTCTCCACCATATCCATGGAAAATGCATACCGCCCACCAAAAACGAGACGAGTAACCTCTCTATAGGTTGTGATTTATTGGACATTGGAGTTCAATCGTTAGATAGGCTTTTATAAAATTGTCACCCGCTAGCATGGCGCCAGGAGATGGTTCAGCCTCAATGGAAATTCCTATCGTTGACTTCTCGTCCTGGAAGAATACCCAGGACCAAGCCTCGCGGTTAAGAACGGCACAAGAACTCGTCAAAGCATGCCAAACCGTTGGCTTTGTCTACATCATCAACCACTCGCTGTCCGAGTCCGTCCTGAATGAAGCATTTGATTGGATGAAACGTCTTTTCAATCTTCCCGAAGAGGAGAAGATGAAGGCGCCTCATCCTGAGGGTTGGGCAGTGCATCGGGGGTATTCATGGCCTGGATTGGAGAAAGTCTCCCAGACGATGCCCACCGGAAATGATGAAGAAGCAAAAAGAAAGTTGCGAGAGATCCCAGATGTCAAAGTATGTTGTGACTTACCTCGTACACGGACCAACGTCATGTATTGAGATGAGAACGGTAAAGATAAGGACTGTATCTTATAGTGCCATAGGAAGTATACGATATCGGGAGTGATCAAAACACTGACCAACCTAATCAATGGATCCCCGACGAAGCCCTCGTTGGCTTCAGAGCTTTTATGATCAAGTTCTATTGGGAGTGCTGGGCAGTCGGCGAGGAGCTTTTACGTGCTCTAGCCATTGGATTGAATCTAGAGGACGATTCTTATTTAGTCGACAAACATTCCGGCCACGGTAATCAACTACGACTACTACATTACTTGCCCGTACCAGCCGAGGATCTTGAGAAAGAGCGGACAGCCCGTTGTCCAGCGCATACGGACTGGAGTTCCTTAACTATGCTGTTCCAAGATGATTGTGGAGGTCTGGAGGTTGAAGATATTTCTCGACCAGGTACATTCGTTTCTGCACCTCCTTTGGAGAATGCCATTGTTGTAAATGTTGGTGATCTTCTGCAAATGTGGAGTAATGGTAAGCATCCTATTCTACTGGCACAATGCGGCGATGAATGCTCTGACCCGTACAGACCGACTCAGATCTACAAACCACAGGGTCAGAATGCCACCGCTTGCCGATCGCTACGAGGGTCCAGATCGGATGACCCGTGAGCGGTTCTCGATTCCCTACTTTATGTCTCCAGACCCATCATCTGTGATTGAATGTATTCCATCGTGTATGAGCGAGAGCCAGCCCGCCAAGTACAAGCCAATCACACAGGCAGAGTATAACAAGATGCGAGCCTCTATGATGTACTGAACAAAGCCGAGCCACCATGGCTGATCGTGGCACTTCTACATCATTAGAAAATTGACAGTCCAGTTTGTTGGAAATGAGCTGAGAGAATGAACAAAGTCCTGGGTAGCAATCTTCGCATGTGCTTGAGTTTGTATATCGCACACAATCCCATTTTGATCGTATCATCCAGCATTTCTTCGAATAATATCCACCCTGACCAACCCAAAGTATTGAAATATACAAGTCAAGCTCTTGGTGGACAGTACGGAGTATATACAGTGACGTGAGAGCCCTAAGCCCTAAGAAGCACCGTATCTGGAAAACGCCCCGCTGGTTGTGACGGCGGAGTTCAACTGAGCTTTGGCCACCGATAAGTTTATGCCCGAGCCTCCGTCTTGCCTCTATAAGGAGTACAATAACAAAGGCTATAGACCTTCACTGAGTTGATCAAACTTCTAGCTCACACTTTTCTACCGATTGCGAATACATAATCGCAAATATCTACAGTCCCCCATTCTTGAACATCCCGCGACCGCGATTTGCATCCCCTCACCGCACCCCTCATATCTAACACCACTCTACCTTGTCAAAATGTCTCTTCCCAATGAAGCTCTGCAAAAGGTAACTTTTCAAACACCTACTATATCAATAAACACCTAGCTAATGGCTAAATCCGATGTCCAGCTCCTCCAAGAACTCGAAAACCGCATAGTCACCTCCCAACAACAGATCGGGATCGCCAAGGCCCAAGTGACCACAAAACAGAAGGCTATCAGACTGTTAGACTTGACGTCCAGTGAGATGAGCTCATTGCCTAAGGACACGCCTGTCTACGAAGGTGTAGGGAAAATGTGAGTGGGCCTCCACCTTTCACGATCCATGTTTCGCTTGGATTCGGCATCAAAGACCGACCTGGCGCTGACTTTAACTTGCTATAGGTTCGTGGGTGTCCCAATGTCGACGGTTGATAAACGCTTAGTGGCCGAAAAGGCGGAACTCAAGTCGGATGTGTCGGGGTTGGAGAAGAAGTTGAGTTCGCTGGAGATGACACATAAGAACAGTATGGAGCATTATGAGCGGTTTGTGAAGTCTGGTGGTAAGGCTTGAGTTGAATCGCTTCTGGTCCTGAAGTCATGTTGGGGTTTGTTACGGATCTACTCTGGCTTTGGGAAATTTGGCTTCCCCGAGTTCGACGTTTTTGAGAAACAGAAGGGAGAACCGACGAAGCGCTCTGTAACAGGAGCTAGAAGGAGTTGTTCGAGATGAATAATGAGGACAGCGAGTTATGCTGTTACTCGTGCAAGCCGGTTACTGTGCAGAAAACACCCCGGCGCTTGGATATACAACGGTTTCCGGATGACGTACGGAACTTTTGGCTGTGATATCTACTGGCTGGACCAGTCGCTGAGACAGCGATCAGCTACTCTGATGCCTAGGGAGTGTTACCGGTTGCTAATCATGTTTACCTCGGGAACTCGAATTCGGCGCATGTCCTTAATACTTGACTATCCGCTGGTGCCTCTGATAACTAGGTAGAAACCAATGTTAATAATATCCTCACAGATCAATATCTCCGTCGCTCTTCTGTATCTCATCTTCAGGTACGATGATAATGTGAGTTTGGCCTCTAAACAGAGTGTACTAGAGACAAATCAGATCGCGCATTGTAAGGTATTGCTCTTTCCAGTTTCTCAATTTATCGAGTCGGGTACTACCACAAAGCTTTGTAGCAGCCTTTTGCTGCTCAAGGTAGGACTCTTTCGAACAGCACCTCCAACGCTTTAAAACTCGCCGTGATCATTGCCAACAACTCTCGAGCCATTTCGCTCGGAAAACAGCATGTGGAAAACTCGATCTCCATGCGCGTTGTTTGACAACGACATGGTCTGTTAATTACACAGAAGTAAGACTATTCTGATCCCGCTGTAAGTAACTGCCCCTGCCCTGCCTTTGACACTATTGACCTCAGGTACCTACGAAAAGGTCCAGAATTCTTGTACCAGAGACATCCAATTGAGGCAATTTGGAGCCGAATGAAGAACTGGATTCAAGATCAAGATCTTGAAGATTGCTAGTTCTCTTATAATATCCTCCGAGCTGCTTTATGGGAGGCCTGAGATGCAGTTCCAGAAACCTTTTCGAGAGTCTTCATGGATTCCAATCAGGAGAGGCGTCAGGAGGCTCTTAGTGGCCATACTAGACTCTGACACTATAAAATGTGATTTGGAGTGGAAGAGTGGCCGACAGGGCCCCCGGGGGCCCGGGTCTACAGTATAGCTATGTAAGGTGTAATCCAGGTATACAATAGCAATCACAGACTCTGCCAAAACTGTCGCGAGTGATAATATTATATCCAAAATCTATGTCTTTCCGGGTGTTCCTGTTTCTCTTTATCCCGCGGTCATGGACTATGTATATTGGCTTTGAGGGCTCTTTTCGGTATATTACAAGATAATTACAATATGTGGCATTGTTTTAGTATATTTACGCTTACGGTAGCGTCGTGTCTATATTCCATGCTACCTAGATATCTCCGCAAGCTCCCACATCGGTACTATATGAATGAAATACGAAAAGTAGCTGTTAAATGTTAAATTACTTTAATAGCCCTAAGTCACTTGACTCTGACTCTAAGATATCATTTATAAATATCTTTCATGATCCATTACTATCTATAGAGTTAGACATTAGGCATTAGACTGACTCAAGACACAAACCTTACGTATTTTCCTTGAATAAATTGATAAACTTTCTATCTATATCGAACTAAAATAGAAAGCTTAATATAACTTCATGTCGCCGTGGCTGACTTGCCTGGACGCCCGCAGCCCGTTCTTACACAGGTAGTTTATAGAAAGTAAACTAAACCAGTTAGAGTTCATATTTATCATTAGGTTAGTTCTCAAAGTCAAGCACTTATGGGCCTTTTGCCTGGGCTAGCTCCGGGCCAACCCGAGCCGCTGCTTAGCTGGAATCACCAATATCATGCTAAAGTCATACCTAATTGAGTTTGCCATCAAGACCTGGAAAACCGAGATGGCTTAATAAGTTAGTGATCTAAGGCCACTATGTGCATACAATTGATTCGACCAGGGTTGAATAGCCCGGAAGGCGATTACATGCGACCTACGGATTGGATGCTGCCGCAGCCTAGCTAGGACCCCGAAAGCAGCATACCGAATTTCTGGGCGGAATCTCAATACTTATCGTGCTGCCTGTGGCCACCGTCATTTCCGGACCGAAACTGGCGCCTGTCTTAGGCAATGAAGCTCATGGACCTATCATAAATATGCATAGTTTCCAGGTAAAATGTATAGCATCTTTCTACTCATTTACAAACAGGCAACGGGGTCTTGTCTCCTAATCTACAAAGCCCCCTTGCTCCTAGGTCTATCTATATAGATGGGCTGGAAAAAAATTTGTCTCCCCCGAGCCGGAATCGAGCCAGCGACCTTTTGATTACAAGGGAAATTCCATTACAGTCAAACGTGATATCCAACTACACCATCAGGGGTTTCGACGTACTGGTTACATATAAATAATGTCTACAAGAACCATGCGTATATATATTAATCTGATTCCAACCATCTGAACTGTAGGATGGCTAGCCAAACGGATCTCATAGATCTTAATGTCCCTTTGAGCACTACTGTTGCGTCAGCCGATGCGCGCACCCTTTTGTTTCGTTATACCGCAGGATGCATGTTACAACAGAATCGTCATCGCTTGCATGTCGTGTTGGCTTTGGGTTGCCCGTGGCAGATGCATAAATACTCGCGGTAGCGCCAAATGCCCTTCAGGTATATGATATTCACTGAAAATCGCTTAAACCGCCTCTATCGCTATATTTTATTATTCTAGGGAACGCGTCAACGCGTCAGTATACCTTCTAACTGAAATATTAGCAAGAGGTATGTAGGGAACTTGGCCAGCTCCCTAGAATACTGCTAACGTGATCCACGGCCACAGGATAGGGTCTCTGAATCCTTCGATTTTAAATATCTATATAATATAAAATAATCTATACTCTATAGTACAGATACCGCTACTATTTAATTCTATTCTAGATTCGTTAAATACTAACCTTATAACACATATTTCCTAGAAATCACTATTTTAAAATATCACGATTCACCTCTTTCTAATACACACTGGAAGTCTACCTATCCAGATACCTTTCCCACGTATATTTCCACTGCTAAATTCTATATTTTTAATACAATATTTATTAACACATCCAGTAGACTGCACCCTTTTTACCTAGTAGTCTATTTTAAACTCTTAGACTATTAGATCTACCTTATAATTAGTAGTATAAGGCCTAGGAAAGAGGAAAGCAGTCTACAATAATCGCTGTTACTTCAGACCCTTTATTACATCCACAATGTATATGAAGCCTATTTATAACACGATTGTCAATAAGAGCTGCTTATTACTACTAAACGGCCGTTGACAACCCGAGAAAAACCCCTGAATAGGGGCTGTATTCGGGTATAATGCATTTCTCTCTCTCTCTCTCTCTCTCTCTCTCTCTCTATAGACGGGCTGGGGGGCGAACCAGGTGCTGTGCTATAATCCATCAGGCCCGGTACCATTAAATCAACAAACTTGCAACTACAATCCACATTTTCAAAACCCCAGATCAATATGTCGTCTCAAGAACAGACCCAGACCCCGCAATTCGGCGAGGAGAACAATATCAGATTATTCGGAACAAGGAACGGCCAGATACAGACCGACTGCGATGATAAGGACGGGCGTATTGCTCTGAGCATCGCCTGTCTATTCGGCAACGCAGCCATTGTGTAAGATCTCCTAGAAGAACGGGCCCTGATCAGCAGTATGCATTATAAAACTAGCTTTATGCAGCAAACCCTTGCGGCAATGCACTACCAAAGAGCCTTTTCTTCCCTTGTGCCTTCGGAGGAGCCAGCTCGAACGCAGCTCTTGGCCTTGGTGGCTGGATGCACGCCTCTGACATGTGCCGCAGAAGGGGGTCATGCAACCGTGGTTCAGATGTTGTTGGAGAACGAGGAGGACGTTAACGAAAGAGGTATGACTGAAAAGGAACAGTCACCAATTCACTTGGCCGCCTTGAATGGGCATGTAGCGGTCGTCAAGCTTTTACTGGAGAGGGGGGCCAATGTCGAGGCGCAAGATGTGAACATGGACACGCCATTGTGTCTAGCTGTTGCGACGTGCCAAGCTGCGGTGGTAGATTTGCTCCTGGAGTACAAGGCCAAAGTCAATGTCAGGAATTCTGAGGGCCAAACCCCACTAGCTATTTTGATCACTGCCGCACCTGAAAGGCAAGGAACCACGGCGTGGAAGACCATCATGCAGCGGCTGATCGCAGGTGGAAGTGACCTGGAGGCCCGAGTTGAACCTAGTGGCTATACTCCACTAACCCTAGCTGCGTCTCGTGGATGTGTCGATATTATGGAGCAGTTGCTAGAGGCCGGGGCTAATACTGAGGCCCGGGATTCCAATAACTGGACAGCACTGTTTCAAGCCGTTTTCATGGGAAATCCGAGAATGGTGAAGCTACTACTAGACCATAAAGCCAAGCCTGATCCTCTTGACGAGCAACAGGGGACACCTCTGGAGTATGCAGTCGCACTCGGTATTCACCCACCCGTGTTCTTCCAGAAGACCGAAATCTTCGACATGCGAGATGGCCATTACAATATCGCACAGCAGATTCTCGAGACCCGTCCGCTCAACCATGACCCCCAGGATCGCTTTGGTCGCAGCCTGACGTGGTGGATACAATTGACGGGTCATACCCGGATGCGAGACCTTTTGACTGATTACGGTATGCAGCTAAGAGGTGATGGACAGGAACAACAGGGCCGGTACCAGCTTGGGGTGAGATCGAATAAAGCTACACACACATGTGACATCTGCACCATGAACCTTTCTCGGGATAATCGGGGCGTTTTATGTGGTGCTGGATGCGAGAAATATAGAATATGCCACCTTTGTTGTGCGTTTGGCGCTAGTTGTGAGGATTTTGAGAGGAACTAGAGATTTTAGGGATACAAACAACGTGTCATTCTTCTTTCAATACCAGGATACTCAATGATTAGTACAATTTGTTATCCATGTCACAGATGGATCTCTTAGGCACCCACATTACTTTTCAGCGATCTGATTCCATCAGCCCTAAGTATATCATTCCACGCAGTGCTATTCTGAAGGATAAAGAACATGAAACTCAGCACAAACTAAAGCACTTTGCCTAATTACAATTTCATTATAGTATTGAAAAAGGAGGGAATTTCATCTGAACTCCCTGCACCATGTACCTTATGGCAAAACAGTTCTGATGCCAAACTCCAAGGCATTTGACATATGCGTAAAACATCCAAAGATTGCGATACCCGCAGTAGTGCATAGCCAACATCTATACACGTACTCGACAATCAATTCTTACTATTCCTCCCCAGAATCTCCTCCCTAATACCCTCCAAACCCCTCTTCTGCGCCCCAGACTCATCAAAATTCTCCTCCGCAAGCCAACCCTCCAACGCCTCCTTAACCCCTCTAGAATCCCACTCCTCCTTCAACATCGAAAACCAAGCCGTATCCCTATTCCTCCCCTTGACAACCATATGCTGCCTAAACACCCCCTCAAACACAAACCCAAGCCGCTCCGCCGCCCTCTTCGACCCCTCATTCAGCGCATTGCACTTCCACTCCACGCGCCGATACCCCAGCTCCTCGAACGCATACTTCAGCAGTAGATACGACGCCTCCGTTGCACCCGTCGTGCGCTGCAGCGCAGGCGAGAACAGCACCCACCCGATCTCGAGCCTTAGTTGCTCAGGCACGATGCTCATTAAGGTGATCCAGCCCAGGACTTGTTGGCTCTTGTCGACGATAGCGTAGAAGAGGGGATCAGTGGAGCTGCATTTTGTTGTTACTGAGGCTTGGAATTTGTCGAAGTCGGCCTCCGGGTAGGGGCCTTCTGGGAGGTAGGTCCATGTTGATGCTTTGGTGGGGTCGGAAGTGCCGCCGACGAGGGGCCAGAGGGCCTCCGCGTGGGAGGGCGATAGATGGATAAGGTCAATTGTGCGGCCTTGGAGTTGTCCGGGAGTGGGGTGTTGGGCTGGGGGTTGGTTGACTGGGGCGCCGAGGGGGGTGGTCATTGTGGCAGTGGTGGTTAGTAGCAGGTACTAATTGTTATGGACTTAGTACTACTTTAGTGCTGGGATGACGAGGAAGTGTTAAATAATGTTGGGTGTGGACGTGGTTTAGATATAGTAGCTGTTCGTCTATTCAAAAATTACGTCGAAAACTCTATTTGGTTGTCTTAACCACTGTGTATGTGAGTTTAGGTAGGGAATGCGATGCGGGTCCTGTTAGCATGTGGGAAGTGGGAGGGGACGGAGAAAGACAATGCCCGGGGGAGCTGTGGTAGCAGATTGGACTGTGTACTGTCTACAATATAGTGATTTACTCTACCAACACATGTGCTTACTTCTTTAGGAAGGCAAGGGTCTCGGAAATTGAGATAGAGTTTGCGAAGCATTGCAGCAATTAGGCGCGGCCAGCCCAATGGTGAAAGCTCGAGTCCCCGGAGAATACATCAGTACATACACACCGAAGCAGGTACCAACCTTCGACCACATGCTAATACAGCGGAAGGAATAGATACCCCATCCTTACTTGGGAGTAGGCAATCTTAGATAAAACCATCCCCGATAACCTACCCAAACCCCTCACTAGTACTAATTCGCACTAAATACTAAAACCTTTCCCCACCCGCCACAAGGCTGACGGTCAGTGATTTTTCCTTCATCTACATGACACCCACCGACGTCATGTGTATCAGGCAGCAAATGCAAGTGATCATCATATTTGATCGAATTAATTCCACCAAGAAATTACTGGAAGGTAACAGAACGTCCACATCTATCCGTCACGCGCGTTGCCACCAATCTATCAGAAGATCGATCGATGGATGATCAAAGAGAGTTCTGGTTCCGCGGGATTAACCGCCTTGTTTTCCTTGGTTGGCGGTCGCCGTTTACCACTCGTTTTCATTGAGGCCGACTATCTAACTATAGTAGCAATATCTATGTATAGTACCTAGTAGGTACTAGGGATAAACTTGGGGTCTTGATAAGACGGCCTAGGTCAAGGGAATGTTTCACATAACCGCTGGGTTGCAGAAGTGCTTGTTAGGTTGCGCTTGGACGAACTTGGACTAAATTAGGGCTGTCGAGGCGCGCTGGGAGGATTCATTGGGTACCGTTGGAGGTAAGAGTCAGTAGGAGTAGGTACTACCTAGTAAAGGTTTATTCGAAGAAATTCATGTTGTCTAGTGTACTATCAATAGATACCTATCATCCATGGGCATTTGTTGTCTCTAGAACCCCTTTTTCTACTCCGTACAGAGAGAGAGTGATAAAGTCACCAAGTGGCCACCCGATGCGGATCATCAGCCTGACCCCCAAAACCCAAACTGCCAGTCCAATGGGTGATTCCTGCCCAGCGATCACGACAGTCGAATAACAAACGGCTTTTCTTGTCTTTTGTCCCCCACTTTTCAGCTGGACCGCCCGCGTTTACGAGGCACGGGGGCTGGTCCTTTTTCTTTCCCTCTGACACTGAGGCTCAGTCTTATTTCTCTTCGCTTCTCTTCTTCCTTTGCTTATCTTTCACCTTTCTTTATTACTTGCCCATCTTTCGCTTCCAGAGGTTACCCCTCCTTGTGCTTTGCTTTTGACCCCTGTCACCTTCTTAGGGTTTCTTAATCCCACCACAGCTGTTTCTTGGAAAGTTGTGTTTGCCAAGTGCTTCTTCCCACTACGTCACTTCTTGTGTCTCCTCTTTTGAATCACAAAACCGCCCCGCTTCGACAGTCCACATCCCAACTGTCATCATTGGAAACACAATAGAATATTAGGCCTATTTGATCCCAGAAGAAATCTAAAAAATCTAAAAAAAAAGGGAGGGGTGACACAAAACCAAATAATATACTCTTCACCAAGATGCGTCGTCATCAACAACAACACATCGTCCCATGGACCGATTCCGAGTCCGACTACTCAGAGTCCGACTATTCCATGGAAAACGGCCGCCGCCGAACGTCCTTCAGGAGGCGTTCCTTCTCCCGTCATCGTTTCAGCCCCGATCACGGCAGCAACACTTACCTGAGTCCCGTCGTGCAGGACGTGCATCTGCACCGCTCCGCATCCACAGGCGCCCGGCGACGACGGTCTCACGAGCGTCCCCCACCACCTCCGGCCGTCATCGTCGATATTAAAAACGAGTCACGGAATCAGGGCTCCAACAAAAGTGCCAACAAGGCCCGTAAGGACCAGCACCAGGAGACTTACATTGATCCTTACGAGTCAGAAGATGAGACCCTCTTGCGTGCTCATCATCGACGTCCTCGTGCCAGCACTGCCAGTACGCCACGAGAGGCGTCACCGCGGCAACATGAGCGGGATTATGAGCTGGTGATCGACCAGCGGCTGCTGGAAAAGAACGACCACCGACAAGATCTGGAGCTGTTGAGACAGCAGCAGGAAATAGAGCGCTTAGAACGAGAATTGGCTCGCAATCGCCTTGAAGCCCGTGACGCTCGTGATTCCCATGATGTTCGTATCCTCAAGCAGGAGGAGGACTGGTACGAGGATGAGATTAGCGAGCGACTGAGGAGGCTTGAGAAGTACGAGAAGAGCCAGCGCATGGAGGAAGAACAGCGGCAAGCGGAACGCCGCTGGAAGCTGCATCAATTTGAAGAAGCCCAGCGCCATGCTAGGGAGGAAGACGGTGTCAAATCAAGACTGCGCGAAGAGAAGCTCAAGGAGCTCCGACACAAAATCGAAGAAGAGGAGGAGCAGCGCAAAGCAGAACATCGCTACAAGTTGCGTCAGTTTGAGGAAGCCCAACGCAGAGCTAGGGAGGATGAAGATGTCAAATCGAAGCTGCGGGAGGAGAAGCTCAAGGATCTTCAACGCAGGATCGACGAGGAGGAGGCGCAGCAACGACTCAAAGAGCAGATCCGCCAAGAAAAGCTCAAGGAACTTCAGCGCAAGATTGACGAAGAGGAGGAGCGCGAGCGAATCAAGAAAGAAATCCGAGATGAGGAGGCGAGAGCTCTGCTTGTAAAACAGGAGAAAGAACGTAAAGAAGCTGCGATGAAGGCAGCGGCCATCGAGGAATGGAAATTGAACGAGGAGCGGCGGATCGCTGCCGAAAGAGAAGCGAAGCGGAGACGTGACGAAGAATTTAGGGCACGATTGAGGATCGAATTCGGTTACACGGAGGAAGAGATTGAAGAGATAATCACCAAAAAGAAAAAGAAGGAGGAAGAGAAGAAAGACGGCAAGGGAGATGAGAAAGAGAAGAAAAAGGAGAAGGAGAAGGAGAAGGAGAAGGAAAAGGAGAAGAAGAAGAAGGGAAAGGAGAAGGAGAAGGACGAGGACGACGAAAGTGAAAAGGAAGAGAAGGAAGAACACCGCCGGACGACTTGGATCAAGGTATGCCACCGAACTGCCAAAAATTTCCGTGTCTGGCCAAACTAACATCAGCGTCTAGGTCCACCGCAGACATCTTCTGCCTGACACTCTCATGGCCTATCACTTGCCCTGGGACTGGGATGACGTGAGTGCCCTCGAAGGCTTGATATCTCCGAAATAAACAATGCTAACTGACAGGTGTCAACAGCGCGACAGCAACTATATAATTATCAAACAATGGATCTCGGAAGACTTCCAGGAAGAGCTCTTTGATCACACGCGCCGACTTCGCGAAGGCAAACTCATTACCCAGACCTCCAATACACTGACAGAGTTGAAGGTCAATGACAGGAAGAAGGATAAGATGTACCTTGTGCGGAAGAAGAGCCCCAGTCGGCGGGCATGGATTTTTACTTGATCAGCCGATTGAATTGTTTTGCGAAACGCAAGTGATACCTCTATACGTCTGCTTTTCATGGCCTAGGATTTGGTGTCCGAGCTGTCTATTGGCTTTTTTGTAAACTTTGATGACTTGTTGGACCTGAAATGTTTCGTGTTGATGTTCATTTTTTTTCGTCATGAGTTGGGATTCTGATGATATATGATCGCACCTATATATGATACAATGATGATTGCCACGATGTATACCCAAACTCCTTTATCACCCAACCCAAACTCCCAAATAAATGCTCGAGCAAAGGAAAGAAATAGGTTATTTGTTATACAGACACCTAGCACTTAGTCTCTTGATGCCCAGTGCTTCTCCGCACGAAGAATCAGCTCCTCATACACTGTCCAAGCGAGTGCTGAACTTAGCGCTTTTCTGGTGATACGCAACCCTAAGCCGCCCAATAAGCTCCGCATGCCATCTTCTTGAATCATCATCTTCACCGCCCGCATCATGTTTCCGTACTTGTTAGGCATAAGTTGCAGTCGAGTCTTGACCGCATCAAACGGATTAGTGATCGCGGTAGCAAGGCCAGCCGCCAATGCTCCAGAGACAAAGTTAATTGATGAGGATGATGACTTCAGCGATTGGTCACCAGTTCCTGAGTCGGCCAGCGATGCGAAGCGCCGCTTCAACTGCTCATAGAAAAGAACATAGAGCCCTGCGTACGGGGCATCACGGGCAGCAGTTGCCCCAAATCCAGCAAAAAGGCCTCGCACACCTTCTGTGCGGAGGATATCGCGCCCTGCACTGTACAGGCTGCCATATGCGTAATAGCTCGACTCATAGCGTACTTTCAGTACGGTGACGGGCATCATCACAAATCCCGCCGCAACGCGAGCGGCCGCACCCGTGGCAAGGTTGGCCGAGTTCGACAGCTTCGGAAGAGCAGACGAAGACACCGCACCTTTACCGTTTGCGCTAGCGTTGGAGAGGGCCACTGGAACTCCGGTATGCGCTACACCTTGTCGTAAGGCATTGAGACTTGTGAAATAGAGCGCTGAGCCAAAACCTGTGCGGAGGGCGGAGGGAAGGGTTCCACGCCATAAGCCGCGAATTCCATTCGGAGAAGAGACAATGGACTTTATGGTCGGTAGAAGCGCGGCGTTCTGAGACTGCTGGACTCGGGTCTTGAGGAGGTCTGCTGGCTGGAGGAGGATGGCGGAGCTGAGGCCGGAACAAAGGCCGGCGGCGAAATGAAAGGTGGTTTTTGATGCTGCCAGAAATTTAGACAAGAGTCACTTTGCTTGGTCTAACGACAAAAATTGTAGTTTTCTCTAGCGGGCCAAAGAAAGAGAGTGAAGCGAGGCCGTCAAATTGAGGAACATACTCGTAGTGGCAGAGGTCTTTTTCACCTGCGGCACTGCATATGCAGCGCTGTTGGACATCGTAAGGTTATCCACAGGCCCAGCCTGGAAAGTTCACGGAACGTTTATGTGCTTGAAATGTTGATCAGACAGTGAGTATCACAGCAGATTCAATTCATCCGCAACGGACACCGCTTTTTCGTAGATGACGAGAATCTTGCGAGAGACCGGAATGCGGTCACAGTCACGAAAGGGGCGGCAGAAACCACATCTCAAGCGATACAGAAAAAGTGATGAAGAATTGGAAAGGTTAGATCTGACATGTACTACTCAGATCAGGTACGATGTGAGGTTCCAGAAAAACGGAATTGCCGGTAGTATTTTTCCTCTCGAACATCGCGATTGGTGAAGTCATCAGAGCTCCGTTCCGAATTATGATTGGCCGGATACAGTTTCAGGTGGCCACATGCGGTGTATTCCCGGTACTCAAATACAGTAATCAGTTTGGTGCGGGGAGGTATGCAGTACGACAGAATTACAGTACATCGGCTTACCTAACTTTTATGCCAAACGGGTTACGATCCCCGGCCACGAGACTTTTTAGTTGGTGTCCATGTAGTATTTTGGGTGCAGTCAGGCCTGCGACACTACTACTAGAAGTGTGTACCCATCCATGGATGTACCGAGGTATATGTGTGGAATTCTGCCAATTGGGAGACGATTGACTGTTAGACGAACCCAGCCTTGAACTCTCCCGCAGCAATCCTGGGGAATGACTCTTGACTCAATTTACCCTTCGTTCAATGTCTCATCCAGGGATCTGCAATACGAAATTTGTATTGTAGGCCGGATGCATCCATAGCTAAGGCAAAGTCAAAATTGCACCCGTACTCAGTAACCAAGTACCAAGCCCAAGAAATGATTCGGCAGTTGGCGGAGTCACAGGCTAGCCAATCGGTTTCCTGTAAATGCGGATTGACAGCCTGCGATGCTTGACCCAGTCGTAATCAATCGACGTCACGGGTCTGGGTGAACCGAACGGATGTCAAGTTAGTTTAGGTACAAAGTAACTCCACGAACGCCAGTCGACGCCTCTCCCTTTGTACAGTCACTTTTCTTTTTTTCTTCCCCTCTTTGTATCTGCCATGCCCTCTTTCTCATAACTCCTCCCGATACTTACCCCGTCACAACAGAGATTGACCATCATCCGTGGACAGCCGGAGTCGGTCTCTGCCCGTAATGCCTGAGTGGCCTGCCCTTCCCTTCTTTCCATACCCGCCTTCCAAGGCTGGCTACTGGAACCCCGTTACGTCGACCTTGAATTGGTGCGAGGAGGTGTGTCCAACCTTTTTGTTGGTCCTTTTTTCTGCTCAGCTCACTCTTAATGTCTTCATAAAACTAGGATTACTATGTGACCATCTACTCCGCCGAGATTGTCAACGCTCTGACAAACCTTCTGTTTATGTGGCTCGGAATCAAAGGGCTACGCAGCTGTAGGCGCAATGGACATGATTCGATCTTTGAAGTGGCGTACTATGGTTATCTCCTGGTTGGAACGGGGAGTTTCCTGTTCCATTCGACCCTGAAATGTAAGTGATAGATTTCTATATATCTTCTACGAGAAGTGATTGGTAACTCGGCCTTTCTAACCTGATCTTCTCGGATAGATCCCATGCAACTCGTTGACGAGCTTTCTATGATTTACACCACATGTTTGATGTGCTATGCGTCCTTCTCTTACTCGAGACCGACAAGCGTCCGTGTATTCCTAGCCATTGCGCTGACCGGTCTGGCCGTCTTCATCACCCTCTATTACCACTACCTTCAAGACCCTGTCTTCCACCAGAATGCATACGCTCTCCTGACCATTGTCGTCGTCCTGCGGAGTATGTACACCATGGAGGTAACCCTTCGCCCTAAATGGCGACACACCACCGAGGATGACCGGATAGCGCGCGAGAAGCAGGGTCTACCCGTTCCTTCGAAGGATCATCAACATTACGAGAATGTGCGAGATGTCAAGATTCTGAAGACCATGTGGTTCATGGTTATTTATGGACTGAGCATGTTCCTCGGCGGTTTCTTTATCTGGAACTTGGATAACCACTTTTGCACTAAGATCCGCGGATGGCGGCGGGTAGTGGGGCTTCCGTGGGGTATGTTCCTTGAAGGTCATGGCTGGTGGTATGTCTCCTTATCTCCGGTTCTTTCTCTTTTCTGCGCCGCCGCAGGTCTGAGCTCGTACCGTGCTTGCTAACATTGTTCTGTTGTTAGGCATCTTATGACCGGTATTGGTGCGTACCTCTATATAATTTGGGGCATTTGGCTGCGCCACTGCTTGAACAACCGTCAAGAGGAGTATTACCTGTGGTGGCCGCACATCTGGAACTTCCCCGAGATCATCCGTATTAGCTCCAAAGACAAGGGCGAAAATGGCGTGGCCAAGAAATCAAACTAGGCTAGTGCGATTGTTCTTATTGATGATACTATATCCTTACTCCGTTTTGAGCGAGCATTGTAGCCAGGAGCTACGGTGGCTTAACTATGACCCTGGCATCTATGTTTTGCTTATTCATTATAGACATTGGTTTTGGCCTGGCCAGGACCATATTATTATAGAGAACAAGATGAGAAAATTGAAGATGGTATTACAGCTCACAGCGTGATTTAGGGTCTTTAAGATCATGTTGTTTATCCGATAATCTATATGGAGCTCATCGATGTACGCTATATTTGTTGAGGACAGCATAACTCCTGTGTAGCTGCGGGTTGTCTAGTGGACTTCACAGTTTCGGCTTGGAAGGGCCCTTCTTCCCCCTCACGGGGGCAGGGACGTTCTCCTTCCAGCGCGGATCAATCGTGAGTTTCTCAACTTTCGACTTGTGACTCCACTGCTCTCGGAAATTCTGGTCCTCCTCTCGCCAACGCTGCAGTTCCTGACCCAACCACTTACTGGCTGCTTCGGCGCACTCAGTCGGTGCTTCCTGGGCAAGCAGATGTCCGAACTCTTTGAGATAGACGTCACGAACTCGACCCGCAGCTGCCCCTCCACTGCCGCCTAACCCTACGCCAGTGTTGGCCATCTTGTCGGCCATCATCTCGGGAAGACACATGTCTGATTTACCGCCAAATATGTACATCACACTAGGTCGAAGGTGCGGGATCTCTGCGAATATACGTGACGGCTCAGGGCGGTAGAAGGGGAAAGATCCCAGATGATCGGGGTCGAGATCGGGATGTGTTACCCGATTGACTGGTACATCTTTGCCCGGAGGTCCATCGTAATTAGGACGTGAGAAAGTAAATACTTCTTGGTGAAGAGGTGTTGTTAGAGTGACGGGTTGTTCACCGTCCTTCGATGCTTCGTTGGGAAGTTGATGAATAGCCGTGGGAAGTTCTCGCAGGCCGTATTCAATCCAGCGGTCAAGGACACGGGAGTCCCAGGCTTGGTAGAACGGACTTCGATTGAAACCCTCCGCAGCGGCCTTGCGCGAAGGCCAGATATCTCGTCGATAGGTTGATAGTTGGGTAGTTTTGGCTATAACCAGTTCTCGCTTGTCGGCTGATACGGGGTCTAACTGTGTCGTTTGTCGCTGGATAACAGGGTCTAGCAGCACCAGAGTGTGGATGAGTCGAGGATGCATCAGGCATAATTTCGCACTGTGATGGTTGAAGGGTGTCAAGAAGAGTTGCGCGGCTCCATTCTGCAGAAGACTTACAGGTGTGCACCGCCAAAGCTATGACCAATCCCAATGATCGGACGAGGCATCTCCTTGCGCTTTACGTTGACGAGGTGAAGGAGGTCTCTGGGATGATCAAACCAGCTAGCTGTTTGCGCGCCAGTGTTAGTTTTAGACTATTCGCCGTCTGATTTATCGTAGCACCCAGCGGAGACATTGTTACGTACGGTCGTTGCCCAAGAGGTCCTCGTTGTTTACATAGCTTTGCCCTTGATGCGCAACGTCGGCTATCCAGATACTTCGGATACGGAAGCCATTGGCTTTGGACCGAGCATGTAGTTCTTCCCAGAGTGGTTCATAGAGTTCCTGTCAAACAGTATTAGCCGTCTATTTCCGTTGAACAGCAAGCCACATTTGAGGACGCAAGTAAATACCTTCGGAAAGCCATTCGCATGAGTCGCCAGAATAGTGACATCACCTGGCTGAGGATTAGGGTTATCTAGGGGAATATACTGCTTGACAGCTAAATGTAATTCATCTTCCTGTTCGTTAGCCGTAGCCGCGGGATATTCCCGAATATGCTGGCATTCGACCACATGGTCGACAATGCGAAAAGGCCCGGAATTTGTAGGGGAAGACATCGCATAGGTATAGTTTCTATTTGGGAAAATTTCGGTTTATCATGGGCCTGCCTGGGGCTTTTTAAAGGCGGAGTGTTCCCAGCTTATAGTCTGGGGTAGCGGAGCTATGCCCTGGTCACTTTTGCCGTGGGCTGGATCGCTGAGCCGAGGTGCATTCCCGTAATTAACTCTGAATGGCCCGAAAAGCAGTGCCGAGCATTTTGCATTATTATCTTGCTTTATACACTAGTTAAACAAACCTGTTGTTTCCTGGGCATTATCTAGGAGCAAGCATGAACAATCTGGATAATATACCGCTGAAACTGGCCCATCTTCCCCACTTCTTGAACAAACATTCGGCGAACTCCTGTAGCACACTGCATGATGGGATAAGTATCGTCTACAGGAACGGTGTCGCTACCATCGCCATTATGCTTTCTCAACATGGTAGACCCAGTCAGACAGCACGGATGACTCCGGACTGGTTATTTTTAATAGTAGATTGCGAATGCGTCACTTGATTACACTCGCACCAAAGATGGTAATTGGTACGCGCACGTGATCAGGTGTCGTGTCGGCGCGTTGGCGCGTCGCATCGCATAATTATAGTAAAACGCCGCCACGATCTTAGCTACCTGTCAACCAGCAATATTGAACCCTTCCTTGTGTGACAGTGACAGAACCTTATATACAACAGGAAATTAATAGTAAAGACACTTAATTCCCGCCATGGTGGGCCGCGAAGAGGAGCTTCAGCTCTTCGACCAGTGCAAGATCTGTATAATATGTTCGAAAGACCTCAGTCTCGAGACGGCGCAACAGGTATGCATCGACTGATCTATCCATGAACACATCAGACCCTTACATGCATATCCACTAGCTTGCGACAACCCTCGAGGAGCAGGGTGGTGAATCCGTTATCTATGAGCCGCCAGCCACCTTCCCACCGTTACATGAATTTAGCCATCTCGTATCTACCACCATCGATTTCCCGTCGTTTGACGCTGCTAACGACGCTTTGATACCTGTTGTCAAACCGCAATGGCTGCACGCATGTCTTAACAAGAGAAAATTGGCAAACCCGCGACAGTACAGTCCCGACCCCCGACTATTTTTGAACGATGTTGTGGTTACATGCGGTGATATCCCAGAGGGCGATAAGGATGCGATTATCGGTGGTGTGCTGGCAAAAGGCGGGCTTTACAGCCCCAGGATAACACAGATGGTCACTCACTTGGTCGATCTGACAACGGATTCAGACAAGGCTCGAGTGGCACTTGGCAAGAAGTTGAATGTCAAGATAGTGCTTCCGCACTGGTAAGACTCCTAGGTCTGCAGGGGCAGAATATTGGATGATCTCATTAACCTGACATTTGCCAGGTTTGACGACTGCCTGAAACTCGGGCGACGAATCGACGAACGCCCATATACTCTGCCAAACCCAGAAATCCTCCGTGCAGGCCCCGATGCGCCGATCCGCTCTACAGAGAATCGTGATATTGTCGGAGCTTCCACAGCTGAGCCAACTACTCTACCCACGCCTCGGCCAAAGCTCGATGTATTTGAAGGGAAGCACGTCATGCTTTCTACTGACCTTGGGATTGGTTCGCACTTATTAGATTCGATTACAGAGATTATCGAGGAAGGCGGAGGTGCAGTCACGTCCGATGTTTCCAAGGCAGAGGTCTTGATATGTCGCTACAGAGAAGGTTTTGCATATCGCGTGGCGTCGAGGCTGAATAAAGAGGTTGGAAACTTATCTTGGCTTTACCATTTGATAACATACAACACCTGGACCTCGCCCCTGCGACGATTGCTGCACTACCCTGTGCCACGAACTGCGATCCCAGGTTTTGAAGGATTCAAGATCAGCCTGTCCAATTACGTTGGGGAGGCTAGAGCTTATTTAGAGAATCTAGTCGCCGCATCAGGCGCAGAATGTACCAAGACCTTAAAACAAGACAACACACATTTGGTGACTGCCCATGGAAACAGTGAAAAGTGCTCTGCAGCAAAAGAATGGGGATTGCATGTGGTCAATCACTTGTGGCTCGAAGAGAGTTACGCAAAGTGGAAGCTTCAACCGGTTTCAGATCCTCGGTATACGCACTTTCCTCGACGGACCAACCTAGGCGAGGTGGTCGGTCAGACACGGCTGGACAGGGGTGTTCTCGAAAGCCTCTTTTTCCCTTCAGAACAAAAACCTGAAGCTGCCATAAGCCCGCGGCGAGTCATGCAGAATAAGGATCAGAATGCTACAACCGGAAAGGTGACAGTTTCCGTGCAGCCGCCAGAAGCGAAAGAGCCGGAAGATGACGGAGGCTTCTCGGATGCAGGTAATGCAACACCAGCCGGCAAGTCACGGAAACGTTCCGATAGTAGGAAGCTACAGACGCCTGCGCGCACCCGACTTACTTCGGAAGGCAAGGAGAATGATACTCCATCCTCCACAAGCAGTCGGAAGTCCAAGGAAGCCGCGGCTGCCCGTCTCCATGATATTGCTCCGGATATTGCTTTGTACGAAAAGGAAAAGAAGCGTGTTGGTGGTGTGATCTATGGAGGTCGTAAAAAGACGGATGAGGACCGCGTTACACTTAATGTTAAGAAGCGAAGATCGCTCGAGCCTGAGGCCAAAAGCGATGAGGACGAAGCAACAGAGGCAAAGAGGCAGAAGAAATCAAAGCCTCCCGTGACAATGCATCTATTAATCACGGGGTATCAAAAGTGGGTAGGAAACATGAAGAAAGAAGATGCAGACAAGGTTCGTGGAACTCACCTCAAGTTATTACGGCTTTGTTCGCCGCGGGACAGAAACTAATAACCTATAGCGACAACTTCGGGAACTTGGTATCCAGGTTGTCCAAGATGCCCGGAAATGTTCTCACCTTGCTGCCCCGTCTATACTTCGAACTCCTAAGTTCGTCAACGCACTTGCTTATAGCCCAATGATTATTAGCACCGATTTCATCACAGCATGCCTTAAAAAGAACGAACTTTTAGACCCTGCCGGTTTCCTCTTGGAGGACAAGGCTGCAGAAAAGCGATTCGGGTTCTCCCTAGAGGTAGCCACAAGCAACGCTAAGAAAAACAAGAACAAGCTTTTGCAGGGATATCAGATCTATTGTGTCGAAATCATTCGAGGAGGTTTTGAAGCCTTCAAATCCATTGTTGACACCAATGGCGGAAATTTTTCGCTCTTCCGCGGACGCGTCTCATACCAACCACAACGAGAAGAGAGTGACGATGACAGCTCCAGCGACGATAACTGGGGGCGGAAAGAAGTGTACCTACTCAGCAGTGTGGCACCCGAGCACCAAAGACTATGGCCACGGTTCCGCCAGATGGTTCAAGGTATTGGCAAAACGCCACGGATTGTGCGCGTGGATTGGCTTCTTGACGTTGTGATGTCGCAAGAATTGCGCGCAGCAGATGAGTATGAGTTGAGTGAAGACATGGCTGACAAGATGGAGGAGTAAGCCCATGTCTTGGCGGGAGTTAGAGTGTCCTGCAAAACGATTTTGTTTTTGCTTGTCCAAGCTTTTCTGGGACTCTCGGGGTTCTTGACCTGCGGAGTGATTCTTCTGTGTATATTCTGGAATTATCATGTAGAAGTTACTTGTCGTATCCGAGCGATTTAATGAACAGCCATGATGACAGTGCATGATTTCAACGCCTGCGCTAGATAAATGCTTCCATCAAAAAAACTTTACACCTTCCTGGCCCTCATTGCCAAAAATTTGAGCCTTGCCCCGTTTCACAAGGACATTGAGCGACTTCATCATAACATCTACATCCATGCCATGCCATTCTATCGAGCGTCAGTAGACCGCGCAAACCCCGGAACATCCACACAATACCTACCTTGTGACATAGTTGCCTCCCCTTCAACCAACTCATAAACCGTCAAAACCACATTCTTTTGTCCGGTATTCTCAATCTACTCCCGGCACCGAGCATCAGCTTCCAATCGTTCGCCCGCCCTGGAAGATAACATACCCAATCTGCCAGAATTCCCGCCCACTCCTCCGGTCTCCTCCACCAAACCCAAGCAATCGTCTTATTCGCCCCATCAATCCACTCTGCTCTTCTACCTCCTCCGCCCTTCTCTTCGCTCTCTGCCATCCAGTCCAGGATATTCCGCGCCTCAGACAGTGTAATTCGTTTCCGCAACGTGGAATTATGGAATAGCGGTGACTCGATAGCTTCTATTAAGGAGAGACGGTATGTTTGGTGGTGGCGACACCAAGATTGGATTAGTAGCGACCATTTTTGAAGCTGTGAGAGTCGTGTTGTGCTGTTCGGCTGGGGCGTGAAGAATGGGGGGAAGGAGTAGGTCGGCGGGAATTGAAAGGGGGTTGAATTAGACATCTCCTTCCCTTCTCTAGATTTCGCTTAGATGCGCCGTGGTTTGACCAAAGGAGCCTGTTGTATGTTTATAGAGAGTGTAGTATGTTTGGAGATATTGAAGTGCGGAGGGGTTGATAACGGTTGATAGATAGGTGGGGGAGCTGGAGTGATACCACTTTGATCAGTGATGAGACGGTTAATGAGCTGATGAATGATAGTGGAAACCGCAAAAATATCCAGGTAACTATACAGTAACGAAGCGTATAACACGATTCCAAAGCGAAAGTCGTTGAACAAGAATCAAATGGTGGGAGACTGGTGAAGTTGAATCGAAGTCACTGACAAGCATGTGGGCTTTATCTCCGGGCCCCCCATAACCTTAACTCCATCTCGAAATAAATTTCCGCACCTCATCCGATCGCATCACAGTCGAATGCACCCCACCTCCTCCACAACGTCCATCAATTGTCTCTTTACAGCCCTACTTCGCGGGCCAGTTTCGGCCATAACAACATAATCGATCATAATCACAATGTCCACTCAGCCGTTCAAGCGCCAAAAGCGCGATCAATACCGCCAAAAAGCGGCGGCCGCAGCCAATAAAGACACGGCCAAGGTTAAACTGCCCCAGAAGAAGTTCTATCGGCAGCGTGCACACGCCAATCCCTTCTCAGATCATCGATTGGATTAGTATGTTGATCTGTTAATTGCCTGCGCGCGTGGGTTTTGTGGGTGCTAACTGAACGCTCTAGTCCGCTCAGCCCGGCGCATATGGACTGGTCGTCGCATTATCCGGCGTTTGTCAACCCTGATCCTGAACAAACGAATCTGGCAGATGCGAGGAAACTTTTGAAAGATGTCGAGGTTGTGGATATTGGATGCGGGTTCGGTGGATTGCTTATTGGTCTTGCGCCGTTGCTACCTGAGACTTTGATACTTGGTATGCTCTTGATCCGGTCAATCTATTGATCCTATCCTGCAGCACCTTTCGGCTTCTGTTATAAAGGAATTTGGACTAATGACTAATTAGGTATGGAAATCCGCACCCAAGTTATCGAATACGTAGAAAACCGCATTCAAGCACTCCGAGCCCAGCAGAACAAACTCAAGAACCCCTCTACAACCGCCACCGATTCCCCAGCACCGTCAACTCCTGCCGAACTGGCCACCGATGAGGCCTCGCTGGATTCAGCCGCCACCCCCGAAACATCCAATAGCCTTGTGCCGGGCGGGTATCAGAACATCAGCTCCCTCCGCAGCAATACCATGAAGTTCTTCCCCAACTTCTTCCGCAGACACCAATTGTCTAAGATCTTTATTTGCTTCCCAGATCCTCATTTTAAGGCCAGGAAGCACAAGGCTAGAATCATTTCTGAGAACCTGAATGCTGAATATGCCTACGCGCTGAAGCCTGGGGGCCTTTTGTATACGATCACTGATGTGGAGGAATATCATCATTGGGTTCTGAGGCATTTCCGAGAGGAAGGTGAACAGCAGGCGAGTGAAGGTGGAGTGAAGGATCTCTTTGAGCGGGTGTCTGAGGAGGAATTGGCAAATGATCCCTGTGTGGAGGTCATGAGGGAGTCTACGGAGGAAGGCAAGAAGGTCACTAGGAACAAGGGAAACAAGTATGTGGCTGTTTTCCGTCGCAAGGCCGACCCTGAATGGCCTGCTTGATATCTCCTACTTATCTCCATTGCTGCTTCTGGCTATGGTGTCTTATACTAGCGATTCTATGCGGTTGGATGCCAATACTCGAACCCCTGATACATGTATATAGTAGTTTCAGTTACCAAAGCCTATTAACCCGAAAAAAAAAGACCTAGCTAGAAACCAGTTCCGTGACCCTGTCCATAGCTCAATGGCGCCCAAGACTGCCCAACCCCAACAAGTACAACAAGCTGGTAGACGCTACTAGTATTTGACATACACTCACTCACTTGACGCATATTCCCGCTTGCTGCATATGCAATAGTTGACATAGATTGTAATGTGCATAATATACCCAAAAGAAAGAAAGAAAAACAAAAAGACAAGACTCTACTCCAGCGCCCAAGATGCTGCGAACAGTTACAAGCACTGTGCGGAAGTCAATAAAACTTGGTCTAAATGATAAACCGTGTCTTCTCGGCGTTTCTCGTGCAGTCATTATCGAATCCGAGGTGACGCCTTAAGTCGTATGCTCTCGCATCTTTCGCATACAGGTAACTGGACTGGGCCTCCGATGATGCGGCCTTTTGCTGTTCTTTTCGGTTCGCCTTCTCGGACAAAATATCGGCCGTCCGGCCCAAACCCGGCACTACATTCGTGACAGACAAAGCACTCATCATGCCACTGACCTCCGACAGCTGAGATGACAACATCATCAAGTACTGGTTTTTTGCACCCCGAGCATCGAGGAGAAGTGCGCCGGGAATGGCATTGAAGACACCATGCAAAACCATCCTTTTCTACAAACGGGGTGTCATGGTCAAAAGGCTGTGGGAAAATATAGTTAGCATATTATCACTTGGACTTCAGGTTCTTAGGTTGGTCGTACATCACCGCATTCGGCACAAAAGAAGTGGCCGACATGCCATTCAGCACCACATGCTACAACCACTTCTCCTTCAATAGGGGTCTTGCAGCTCTTGCATCTCGGGCTGAACATTTCATGAAAGTCAAGATGACAATAGAACCTCAGCAAGCGGGCCTCCTCGTCGGCTTCCGAAACGGCTGCCAGTCGTTCCTGACGTTTTGCATCGGGTTCTTGGTAGAAGGCCACACATTCAAGCGGTGTCTGACAATGATGGCACATGAAACATTCTGGATGAAAACGCGATCCGGCAGCAGTGACAATTTTCCCAGAAATCGGAAGAGCGCATGATTCACACGTCGCCGTTGGGACACCAGCCCGACTGTAAGTTGATAGCCAACGGTTCTGCAGAGCCGATGATGGAGATTTCCTCTGGAATGGATTTGAACGTTTGCTGCTGCTGGGTGAGGTCGGGAGAGAGCTTTCATCTTTCTTACGATCCTGTGACGACCCGGCCATCTCAGAAAGAGTAGGTGGCTTGTCATCTGGTAGGTTAATCACTGGGATAGAAGGCGCTTCAGATATCTCAATTGTAGGAGCAGCAGGTGCAGGGGGTGGTGTTGGTGAAGCGGATTCGCGCGTTCCGACGTCGATACCTTTGCCTGGGGACTGGGCTTCGGTGGGCTTCCAGGTTGGATCAAAGCTCACAATCGGCCGGCCGGCACGATCACTCACAGCAGTTGGCATGGGTAGCCTTGTACTTCGGTCTTTGAGCTTCTTACTTGTCGCTGCTCGAATTTCGTCACTTCGAATCTCAATTCCATCTTTTTTCGGGATGGCTTGTTCATCATTCGGATTTGCCTGGGGAAGGGGATCGTTGGCCTTATACTCAGGATTTCTTGACTGCGTTGGGGGATGCTTATGTAGTTCAAAACGAGACAGTTTATCGACGAATGAAAGGCTGCCAAATCGGCCAGAGAGGGGTCTCGAGCCTCGAGGCACGGCATTACGTGGTTTGACTTTTAAGGCTGACGAATCGGATCTTGAGAAATCAGGACGTTCATCGTCCATATGCTGAGACTCCGCAGGCTCTTCATATATGTGGTCGTTGGGGTTTCGAAAAACACCTTTTGACGGACCATTGCTGATACTCCCGAGGCCCAGTCCGTAGCCACTGCTTGTTCGTTTTGACGGACTCCCGTTTTGAGGCAAGGAAAAGTCAACTTTGAGATTCTTTCGGAGTGTGCCATTCTTTCTGGGGCTGGAATTTGGTTCGCCCGAAGCAGGTTGCTGTTCCTCGGCACGTTTGCTGGGTGAGTCCGTGTAGTAGTCTGACCTGGGACGATAACTGTCCCCCTGTGGACTTCTGGAAGCGGGAGTATGACCAATTAAAACGCTACTCCTATCTGATCCTTGACTGGACCTTTCCATATCGGGATTACGATAAGGAGCGTATGGATTCTTGAAGGGCAATCCAGGGTTTTGATGCATCCAAACCAGTTCCGTAGCCTCATCTTGGGCAGCTTGATGGAGGCGAATGTCATCTTGGATATCCATCTCTTGCAGTGCATTACGGAGGGATTGAGCTTCCTCCCTTTCAAATCGACGCCGGTAACTCTCGCGATATGCTGTGTTTGGAGATGGAGGGCTAGGACGAGAGAAAACCCTCGTTGGCGAGATATTCTTCCGAACGGGTACCATTCGGGGTTCTTGGACCAGCGGTCGTCCAGCCGGACTGCCTATGGATCCTCGAGAAGATACAGGACGATGGTTAGATAAAGAACTAGTAGCGCGGGGCAGCTCCCTATCGCCCGCTGTAGTGGTTGACGGCATCCTCGAATGTGAGTATGAAGACATCGCTGATGCTGCCCTTGGCGGGAGGTCCTCTCGAGGATTCGACTCAGCTGGCGTCGTAGGGAGTGGCCTCGATCCACCTGGGCGGGTTGGTCTATTTGTGCGGAGGTCCTTCAGATAATTTGCTATACAGCGAAGATTAGCCACATGTTAGTATCCAGGAGATAAGTTCTAAAAATAAAAAAAAAAAAATACGATCACACCTTCAACACCTTGCAGAGTGAAGAATGCCATTACGCAGCTAATAATGTAGACTTACCAACCTGATTGTCGGACATGTATGATGGCCCGGGAGGGGAGACCTTCCGTTGGCCATCTTTGGTCTTGTTATGGTGCAGATACGGTCTATACATGGTGTGGTGTTGGCCTGGAAGAGAGTCTTCAAGGGAAAGGTATCCTGAGAGACATCAGAGTCGATTGATGTGTTGTTCAGCTATGAAGTCAGTTTCCCATATAATTGATCAGTGAGCCAATAATGTTCCAGAAGGTGGCTGGGGTGGGCTCAATGATAGATTGGGCTAGAAAGATCTCTTCAGCCCCGCTGGGACGATTAGAGTATCATCACAAAGAGATATGCTTAAAGTCTGTTAGTCTTAGATGGAAGGAAAGTAGGAATTGATTAATCAATAATGTTCTGTAGGGTTAGTCTGTCTGGCACTGATCGGAATGATTTTCAGTTGATCATAACAACCGTAACAATGGGCATTTGACGGCCTGGATGACTGAAAGGGCTGAAAGGGGGGAAACAACAACAACAAATCAGTGCAAACAGTGCAAACGCCGGTTTCACATGGTTGTAAAGGCAACGCGGGGATTATCTCAAGAGACTAACCGCAGTAGGCAGCATTAACCCTAAGACCTAACATGGTCTCTACAATGGGTCAAGCGTCATCGGGCATCTCGCATTCAGAATACTCCGATGTACTACTAGTATCTTTCGGGCATTTCTATCTTGGATAATACAGGGAATACATGCTGCAAGCATCAGGTAATGAAATGAGCATATTATCCTGAACCATGTGGCACACGTGGATCCCTGCAGAGCCACTCGATCTCTTTTTGTACTGTACGACTTGTCCTCTGTTGGTACAATGAGACCTCTCTGGAGTTTACCAACCAAATTGATACCCCAACTTTCTCCGGATTTCACTCCGTCTCCAACTCCCAAGCTTTGCTCCACCGGCTACTCGGCATTACATCCAACCTCAATTAATTTTCTGGTGTCATTAGCCCAATGACGGCGTCTGGGACTGCCGCGGCCATTACCGTCGCCCAAGGAATCCTTGTCGGCAGGATGCGATTATCAGACTGTCGTAGCCTTTCTTGTCGAATGCATGACACATAAACTTCGACTCTTACTAGTTCATGTTCGCTTAGTTTCTTGGAGTATTTTACCCTAGCCTTCTCTCGGTTTAATCTATAAGGTCCATTCTTTCATGGGCACAGTAAAGCTCTCATGTATAATAAGCGGAGGGAGAGACGCAAAATCACACTTTACTTTTATCTATTTCTGTCGCACGAATGGCAGACAACACTCCTATCGATATAGTTCGCTCTCGAGATTATGACCGTGAGTTAATCTCGCAAGATCCACTATATAGAAAAGACCAACGTCAAGATCAAACTGAGCTGGAAGAGCAGCAAAACGCAGCTCCGGAAGACCTAGAAGAGAAGTATCAACGTGATGTACCCCCGGACGGTGGCTATGGATGGGTTTGTGTCGCCTGTGTCTTCTGGATTAATGCACATACGTGGGGAATCAACAGCGTCCGTCTCCCAAGCTTCATTGTCCCTTAATAAAAACACAGGATAGACTGACCGCTAGTTAAGAGCTACGGTGTATTCCTCTCTTATTATCTTTCAAACGATGTATTCCCCAATACATCTGCACTCTCATACGCCTTCACCGGTGGCCTGAGCATATCCTGTGCTCTTTTGGTTGCTCCTTTGGCCACCCATCTGATCCATGTCTACGGGACACGTCTTGTGTTAAATATGGGCGTCTTCTTTGAGACCCTCTCACTGATTGGATCCTCCTTTGCCACGCAAAGGTGGCACATCTTTCTTAGCCAAGGCGTCTGTTTCGGATGGGGGATGGGATTTCTTTTCGTCGGAAGCGTAGGCATTATCCCTCAATGGTTCCAGCGACGACGGAGTCTCGCAATGGGCATCAACGCCGCCGGATCCGGTCTGGGAGGACTAATCTGGTCCCTCGCAGTAGGCTCCATGATCCCTCGACTGGGACTTAGCTGGGCCTTCCGAATATTGGGCATCATTGCATGCGTCGTCAACCTAATATGCGCAAATCTCCTAAAAGACCGGAACAAAGACGTCGGAAGCCGTCACAAAGCCTTTCACTTCCCACTATTCAAACGCCCCGAATTTCTCCTTTTTCTCGGCTGGGGCGTCTTCAGTATGTTAGGCTATGTTGCCCTCATATTCAGCATAGCCAATTTCGCCCTCTCGGTTGGCCTCTCATCCCATCAGGGTAGCATTGTCAGCGCCTTGCTGAATCTCGGTCAAGGCCTTGGTCGGCCCTTTGTGGGCATGTTCAGCGACAAACTCGGCCGCATCAATATTGCTACAATTCTTTCCTTCTGTTGTGGCTTGTTCTGTCTGGTCATTTGGATTTTTGCGCGCAGTATGGGTGTCGTTTGTTTCTTTGCTGTCCTTGTTGGTACCGTGGCTGGTACGTATTGGGCAACTGTCACTCCCGTGCTTGCGGAAATCATTGGTTTGAGAGACCTGCCCAGCGGTCTTAGCATTACTTGGATCATTCTCGTCGCTCCTACGACTGTCTCTGAGGCTATCGCTCTTGTCTTGCGGGATAACAACTCCAACGACTCTGTTTACTTGAGGGTCCAGATCTTCACGGGATTTATGTACATCGGTGCCTCGTTGTGCTTGTGGGTAGTCCGAGGTTGGAAAGTGCAATATATCAACCGGGAAGCTCAACTGAAATCGTCTGCCACGGTGACAGCAAATAATAACGGTGTTAAGGTCGGAAGCTCCCGTGGGGTTGGAGATGAGAAGAGGAGCCAGCCGGCAGTGGAACCTCCAGCTTCCGATCCCGTACCTGAGGTTAAGCTCTGGTCGCCAGTTGCACTACTTCGTGGCATGGTTACACTGAAAAGAGTGTGACAGCAGTAGTCCAGGTAAATCCACTTGGATAGACATTATTCAGTCTAATAATGTAAATGAAAGAAGTATATAAGGACCAGACAGTAATACATGATCTAACTATAATACCACTAGACTCCAGATAATCTCTTTTTTATGACCAGGACCCAAATGCCATCCCTACACATGCTATGTTTATCTTTGTCCCTAATTTTGAGCTCCCAAAATCAACACCCGAACCCTTCTCTTTCCTGCACCCCGGCCACTCTCTTCCTTCACGGAGCTGACGTTGACCTTGACTCTCTGGAATAGTTCCACGCTCATACCTTGATCAGAGTGGCCCTTATCCGAGACTTGAAGAGTGTATTCCTCATTGTCAAATTCGCTCTCGCGACGGACTACTAGTTCTCGCCGTTCCTCAACAGAGCGTAGGGCAGAATCGCCCTTGAGCACAAAGTCTTCCAGACGCACAACACCCTCGATACCAAATCGCGGAACAAACACCACCACGCCGTTCTCAAAAACGCGCATGACGTAACCTTCTTCTTCGATACCGCCGTCTACTCCGTTGGCGGATAGCTTCTCGCCGCGTGCTTTTAATGCCTGGCCAACGTAGTACTCGATGCTGGCTCGACCAGCATGTTGGGCATTGCGGTGGCGGTAGTTGATATTGCGGCAAATATCTTCAAGACGGTTGCGGGTCATAACACCTTCAACGACTGCCCGGCCGTCTTCGCCCTCATATCCAATAGCAGACGCAAGTTGTCGATGGACTAACAAGTCGGCATATCGTCTAATTGGCGATGTAAAATGCGTGTAGATAGGAGAGGCTAAACCATAGTGACGGAATTCTGACTCAGCATGAGCACCTGCGCAGAAATACTCTGCAGATGTCATGCATCGGGTAGCGAGAATGCGGACCAGGGTGTTAAAGAAGGGGTTCTTAGCATCAACACACTGGTCAAGCGAGTCGGCCAGGGCGCGTGAGCTAGAAACATCAAGCCTCATATCCCGCTTCTTGGAAAGTTGGTTAATGAGCTCTTCAAAGTTCTGAGGTGGAGGGGTGGCGTGTCGTCGTAGCATAGCAGTTTGGGAGAATGTGCTGTAGATTTTTGCCGCAACAGTGATATTGGCGTGAAGCATGAATTCTTCAACGAGACTGTTGGTTGCGAGCATAGCTTTTGTCTTGACATCCGTAAGTGGATCTCCAACCTCGTCGTTATCGGCTTCGATACGAACTTCAGGCGAGGCCAGGTTCAGTGCACCTGCGTCCATACGCTTCTGGCGGAGAATCTTAGAGAACCGAAGCAAGGTGCGCATGCTCTCTGTGAGTTCATCCTTTTTCGATGGATCGTCAATGCGCATCTGGGCCTGCTCGTAACTGAAGGCTTCACGAGAACGAATGACGGATTTGGTGAAGTCTGTAGAAACAACCTCGGCATTTGGAGTCATCTCCCACAGAACTGAGAAAGCATAACGTTCCACGTAAGGCTTGAGCGAACAAAGATCGGTACCAAGCAAGTGTGGAAGCATATCAATACGCTTGTCGACTAGATAGACTGTTGTACCACGCAGACTAGCCTCGAGGTCCATCGCATTGTTCGGCTTAACGAAATGTGATACATCTGCGATATGGACTCCAACTTCAAAGTTGCCATTGGGCAAAGGGCGTGCGTGAAGAGCATCGTCAATGTCCTGGCAGTTTGGTGGATCAATACTACATATAAGGAGATCTCTGAGGTCTCTCCGGCCTTTCCAGCCGATATCTTCCTTACTGGCGGGAACTCTCCAGTCATGTCCTTCTGCGGGCAGACAGTCGAGAACGGCTTTAGGGAACGGCTTATATTGTACATCGTATTCGAGTAGCAGGGCTTCTGTCTCAGCTCCCTTTGTTTCGAGCTCTCCCAATGAACGGATAAAGTGACCAGTAGGATACCGAGAATCACGATCCCATGCATCGATTGTGATGAGAATCCGTTGACCAAGTAATTCGGAGGCTTGCCTGGTGCGCACCCTAATCTTGGGTACACGCTTGTCCATGGGCAAAACGAAAACATTTTGCTGACGCCGACCAGAGCTAGCTTGGGAACCTGTCGAGCCCGAGTCAACGTGTCCGACATACTGCCGCCAGTTTCGCTTGATCACGCCCACAACCTTAGCTGTTGGCTGAGGCCTTCCTTCTGTGCTCTTTCCATGCGCTTGTCGGACCTCTTCCTGCAAGGCTTTTCTTTCCCTTTCAGTGACCACGGCCTCGTTATCCTCAGCGTCAGGATTGTCATTCTTGGTTACTGCTTCTTCATCCACGATCTTAGTGGATGGCGACTTCCACTGATCCTTAGGGAGCACTTCAATCACAACGACGTCCCCAGAAATAGCTCTATTACTGTTGTCGCGACCCAGAATAAGAAGAGGCTTGTCAAATGCTGCGACGTTGACGGAACCCTCAAGATAATTGTACGGGGACACATTGAAGACACCTTGATGTAAGGTTCCAGCCCTCAATTCAGTCATTATCTTGGACATTGTATAGTATTCTGGGTAAAAAAGCTCTCCGCGTGCACCCTTGGTCTCTCTTTGTTCTCTTGACTCGTTGATCATATCGAGTAATCTGTCGGAATCCTCCAAGCCCGAGACGTAATCGGTTAACGATAGGGCTGTCACGTTCTCCTCCTTTGCCTTGCGCAAGCTGTCTTTGTCGTCTGTGATAACAACAATAGTAGGCACTGTCTTCTCTTTCTTTCCTTTCTTCGCTGCGGCTCGTAAATGCTCGGTGTACCATTTTGCTACAGCACGGACGGCACGGTCATTTCTATCGTTGATCGATTCATTTGGCCCTCTCCGCACATGTGTTTCCATTCTAAATTCGTTGAAAAACAGGTAAAAGCGTTTGTCGTCGGTCTTGATCAAGGCAAGCAAGCGATTGTAGAGGGGTAGAGACTGGTTCTTAAGTTCTTCGAGAACGGTTTGAAGGATGATCACATCGTAGAATGCGCCGGTATGCTCAAATAGATCCATACCATTCAGCAGCGCGTTCGTGTCAGGGACGAGGTAATGGCCACGAGGAAAAGCGGTTGTACCGGCGGGGTGCTCTGAAAGAACGAAAGGCGCAACTGTGTCGCATTAGCCACTAGACGCAGTGTTTTACACTCATCTTACTCACTGTTTCCATTTGCATCCGCTGGAGCGACCGATGGACATGTTGAGCACAGCTTCGATGAGCAAGGAATATCCTGTCTCAGGTAAAGCTCTCGAACGATCTTTTGCACCTTTCCGCTTTTTGTCGACCTGACGAAGATTTTGCTGGTGACATTTGCGGTATGCGGGTCGGAGGAGAAATCCCTCCTTAAGCTTTTCATATTGGCAGCTATGTGACCTGACAGTTAGAGTCAGGTTGTTCTTATCATAAAGCTGCTCTATGTGATGTTGATGCAGTCAGTGACGTTCATTCAGTTTCGGTTCCGCTGTTGGAGCGCAGTTGAGATAAAATGTTGTCCCAAAATGGGAAAGTCTCCCGATACCCCGTAGTATTGCGTAGATAACGTGCTTCATCACCTTCACGCCAATAGATAACATACACTCTGATACGAATTTACTACAGACAGATTGTAAGTTCAAATTAAGTAGAAATGGTTATCGCAGTAAGGAGTCCTCAAGAAAACAAATAATTGAAAAGCAGCTCTAGCCACTAACTCTTTGTTAACAGGCCGTGGGGCAACTATGCTCGACTGCGAGTATGGCTGCCAATCTGGCCCAGTGTCAGATTCTGGTGCGCAAAGCCGTTGCTGCTGGAGCTAAAGTACAGTACATGTCATTGACTCGCAGGTTTCTAACTAATGCATGGCCAGGCGCTGTTTCTTCCTGAAGCGACAGACTATATAGGTTCCTCACCAGCAGAGACAATCTCACTTGCGCGCTCTGTGCATGATAGTGAATTTGTGCTGGGTCTACAGAATGAGGCCATGCAGTCTAATTTACACATAAACGTCGGCATTCATGAACCATCCACGGATGGTAGAGTAAAGAACACTCTTATCTGGATTAATGACAAGGGCATTATTACGCAGCGCTACCAGAAAATTCATCTATTTGATGTAGAGCTCGAAGGTGGTCCCGTACTGAAGGAAAGCGCGTAGGTTGCCCCAGGGTATACTTTGAGAAGCACAGTACATTTACTGACCATCATTTCCAGGAGTGTCGAGAAAGGAATGGAAATTCTACCTCCATTCAAAACTCCCGTTGGACGTGTCGGCTTAGCCATATGTTTCGATGTAAGTTATCGGGTTTGGAAGCCATGCCGGATGAGGTTAATTAGATATCATCTTGCAGCTGCGTTTCCCCGAAATTAGCCTGGCTTTGAAGCGTCAAAATGCCCAGCTTATCACTTATCCTTCAGCATTCACGGTTCCCACGGGAAAGGCCCATTGGGAAACACTACTACGGGCCAGAGCTATTGAAACTCAGTCATATGTGATAGCAGCGGCGCAAGCGGGCCCTCACAATGCGAAAAGAAGGAGCTATGGCCATTCGATGATTGTGAACCCTTGGGGAGAGGTCGTAGCCCAACTTGGCGACGAATATACAGAACCGCAAATCGCCTTCGCGGATATTGATCTGGACCTTCTAGCGAAGGTCAGGAGAGAAATACCACTTCTCAGAAGAACAGACATATATCCAGAGGTATAATGACCTGGCCCGAGGTAGTGGGAACTGGGCCGGGATGTCCTTAGAACAAGCTCCGTGAATGAACCGTTACCCGATCTTACCGATGAATAGAGGCAAAGACTGAAACTTGACGATAGATAGAATGCTATTCGCGATTGGACATTTGTATTCCTTGCTTTTGCGTAACTTTCTAAAGCAATCGGTGAAAGCATCCCAGAATATACGATGACAGAGTACATGCAGAATGTAAGAAGAAAAAAGAACATAGGAAAGGGAATAAAAAGACCTGTCTAGACTGGGCTGGCGAATCATATCCGCTAGCACAGGTACAACATCTCATCCGAAACTGTTTTCCATGTCCGACCGCTCTATGTACAATGTACAAGGAAATACTGAGGACAAATATTGTCCTTTACTTCCTCTGAGCTTTCTCGGGGTCCTCCAGGATACCCTCGGCTTCCAGTCTCCGCCGTGCCTCTTCCAAGGCCCATGTTTGTATACTACCAGATAGTTAGATTTGTGCACAAATAGATTTTCTCATCTTATGTAGCATAGCAGCTTCTGCTGTTTCCAGCGAGCTTGCTAATAGTAAGCCGAGCGCAAGGGATTAACGTACGAGGTGTCTGGCTTGAAGACGTATGCGACACCGGCAACGAGCAAGCTACCAATGAATCCGTAGTACCAGACGTTCTCCCAGCCTTCCTTCACGTACTTCTGGCCAGGCTTGATACCGAAAAGCCACCCAGTCGGAGGGTCGTAGTGATCTCCATGATCAGCAGCACGGAGGTTGGTACGAGTCGAGAAACCCTGAACGTTCTGAGGTCTGCGGAAAAGGCAGCGGGCGCGAAGGCTTTGCGACAAAGTACGAGCAGACATTGCGGCTATGAAGAGTAGCGGAGAATCTAACGAATTCCTGGTCCTTGAAGTAGTCGATGATAAGGGACAGGCGGTGGCGGGTTGAGGCCCCTGTCGATTCCAAACAGGCAAGGACGGTCGGCTAAGACGTCAAATTCGGTGTTCCTTCGACCAGCGATGATAATGATCGGTCCAATTGATCAGTTCCTGATCTGACCGCTGTCGTAGAAGGCGCAGGAGGCGTTAAGTTGGAGGGGTGACGGTTTGAACAGCGGCTGATGTTCAGAAGCCGCAAAAGGCCGATGGAGTCATGACGCTAGTCCTGATCGGGTCAGCTCGCATACCGTCTTCATGCCTGCAATTTAAGGCTTATTATTTGCCTGAGGCATAAGACGCCGACGCGCGCGACGCGTCTAGCGATTCTCTTATCGCTGCATCTAGAGTCCATGATTCATGCGATTGCATGCATCAAGACACAAATCCTACTTGAGTTAGATTCATGCATGTCACTTCCTTGGATTGATCTCCAGAATCGGCAAAGAATTGTCATCTCTATACTTCATCTCAGGACGTCGACTAACAGGTATACATTCTTCGCAGGCCAGGCAGGCTTTTCAGTACTAACTATATCCACTTAAGACTAATCGAGATGCTCTGCTGCTCTCGTGCACAAGACGAGCAGCTCCAACGATGAACCCTATAAATCAGGACACCAATTCATATCCTATTTCCTCGAATTCTCGCTCTAAGCTAAATACATTTCGATACATCAGAGATGAAAAAACTATTGAGAAATCACCGTCTAAGAGATCGCCGTCCAAATCGCCCGTAAAGCCAGCACATGCGAACAAGGAGAATCAATCGTCCTGGTTGAATGGTGTTACTCGGTTAGATCAAGCCGATTCAACTAAAAGAGAAGCTTCGGGCGATAAATCAGATGCGAAGGCAGCCAAGGAATGCCCTCAAACTCCTGGGAATAGGATTCCATTGGCAGATTTGATTAGCAATGCTGAAGATGCCATCAGCCAAGCCCCAGTGCAAGAACTTACACCTGAAGACTATGTCATTTGGCAGCATGTCCCTGCGAGCTCGAATCCGGACACGATGTCTCAAACGCCTGCAACACAAGTCAGGAAACGCCAGCATATCTCTTCCCCAACCAGCTCGCCCTTGGCTGGAAATTCGAAAGGTGCAGATCGAGAGTCTCTTGATATGCATGCGTCATTGCAGGGGCTTCAGCGGACTCCACAGAACGACCTCGCAACCGAACTATGGAACAACTATGTGGGTAAACTTACTGCCAACGGCAATGGAACTTTACCAACACCCCAATTCACACACCTCCTTTCCTCCTCTCCACAGACTCCCCCACCGGTTAGGACAGGTCGTGATTCCTCTGGCTTAAGACGATCGAATAGTTGCAACGCCGAATGGCCCAGTTCTAAAACTAAACGAAGGAGGATCGATGTTGGAGGCGTTGGCACAGGCCGCGGCATCTTTTCTCGGTCAAGAAGTGATGTTGTTGACTCTGGAAGTATCAATTCGTCTAAGATCAATTTTCTCGTGGAAAGGATCGAAAATAGTCTCCGAAATGCGCCAAAGTCACCGAACTCCCACATCGCTGCACCTGATTCATCGCCTTTGCCTAGACGCAAAGGCATTCAACGAACCCGGTCAACGTCCCCCATGCAAGATAGACCCGGTCATCATTCTCCATCTAAGGCAAATAGGGATAACAATGTCAATAATGTCTATTCTGAACCCCAAGGCAAAGAGCAGGCCTCTTCGTCTGAGTTCGGGGACGATGACTTTGATCAGGATTTTCTTGAACTTGCGGAAGCCTCGATGGATCCATTTGTTGATCATGGTAGCCTGCCAGGCTCAATGGATACTAGAGGAAGTGCCACGTTCCTTTCGACGAACCCTCACGAGCCACATAATGAAAACCAAAACCCCCATGCTCATGCAACGACTCTGAATTCGGAAGCGGTCCCTAAGAAGAAAACCCGCTATTCCCTCAAGAGGGTTCGCTTTGAAGATGATGAATTTGATGAGTTTTCGGATAATATAGATGATATCCTTGCTGCGTGCGATGCGGTTCCAAGTACGGAGCTTGTGAGGCCCATCCCAAACAATACGGCCTCCAACCTATCTGGGCTGGATAGTGGCACGGATAACTCGTCTACAGTAATGGCGAAGCCAGTCCGAGGGGTGAACATGCCACAGGAAGAATCCTCTGGTGACGAATTTGACGACGATGAATTTGACATGGAGGCTATCGAGCAGTCTATGAGGCAATCAGGTGCAGATGGATCAAACTATGTTTGTCACTCTTAGTGGGTATATTTACTAGATATTTGCTAAGTATATTATAAATAGAACTTTAGTCGACAAGCCATCAAACGCTACTTGATTGTTGATATTGCTGAGTCTACCTATACCACTGAAAAGGGACGCCTCCAGCCAGAAAAGGTTTGCCGTCGCAGACTTTAGAAGTCTTACAGGTAGAAGCTGACATTGTAATCAGGTGTTGTTAGTACAAGATGAAAGAACCTCTCAGAAGAAAGTCGTTGTGCTGCGGGAATCATGGTTTGATAGTCCATGCTGCAACGATTCATATATTCACTTAATCGGCGATTTCGATACAGCGGGTCATTGCATCGTCAATGATTCTCACAACATGATAATTCTGCACCCGGACCATCTAGTTTCAGCGACCATTGTCGCAGATTCGATTGGTTGCCAGCGGCGTGCTGTGCTTCAGGACCGTATTAAAAACACCAGTGACATTGGAAAGCCTCAAGTATTTGGGAATATCTTCCATGAAGTCTTCCAAGAGGCAATGAAGGCCAATCAATGGGACATATCTTCACTGAGGCCCATGGTTGAAATGGTCATTGTGAAGCATATTGAGGAACTGTACTTGATCCACATGAGCATTCCTGAAGCCATCGATTATGTGATGGGCAAAATTCCAGCCTTGATGTCATGGGCAGACACTTTCCTCAGGGCAAAGCCAAGTGTGAGTGGAATTTTCAGCAACATACGACGGTATGCGTACTAATCTTTACCAATAGGCGCAATCCCTTGTTGAAGACCGAAATAGTTCCAAGCTCCGCCTGAGTATCAATAAGCTACTTGAGGTTGAAGAACACATCTGGTCTCCGATGTATGGACTAAAAGGCAATATTGATGCTACTGTACAAGTTGCCTGCCATGATGGCGAGAGCGATAAGAATTTGGTTGTGCCCCTTGAGCTTAAGACGGGTAACAGAGACACAAATCATGCACATAGAGCTCAGACGGCTCTCTATACCCTTTTGCTTTCTGATCGCTACGGTGAGCCTAGGCCTTGTCACGAAATGTTGCGCTTATTCTAACCTGGCCTATATTTATCAGATGTGGAAGTTACATTCGGCCTTCTCTACTACCTTGAGACATCTAAAATCTTCCGAATTCGTGGCATTCGTCATGAGCTCCTCCAGATGATTCAAGCGCGAAATCGAGTAGCTGGATATATGTGCCGAAGGACCCAACTACCACCCATGGTTAAAAGGCAGGCTTTGTGCAACAAATGCTTCTCCAAGACACCTTGCTTCATCTATCACAAGCTCGTTGATGATGGCGATGGCGAATCAAGTGGGCTCGGCGACGAGTTCGTGAAAGCTATGGACCACCTGACACCCAAAGATCGTGACTTTTTCCGAAAATGGGATGATCTGCTCACAAAGGAGGAGCAAAGTATGATGAGATTTAAGCGGGAGCTTTGGACATTGTTAAGCAGTGAGCGGGAGGCTCTCGGTCGATGCTTCGGCAATATTGTCATCGAGCCAGGGTCAGCCTTTGAAGACAAAGACGGGGTAAAGATAAATCGCTATCGCTATACCTTTGTCAAAAGACAGCCAACACCGTCTTTCTCTTTCACTGAGTCACAGCTCACAATTGGAGAGCCAATCGTGATATCTGATGAAAAGGGTCACTTTGCGCTTGCAAATGGCTATGTCATTCAAGTCAGTCCCCAACGCATCTCTGTCGCAGTGGATCGCCGACTGCATAATGCCAGAACCAAGTCCAAAGGTTTTGATGCGAAAATAAATCAGACATTCAGGGGCATAATGGAAATCCCCGGTGCCGATGCTGCTTCCTCAAATCCATCAAGTGAACCAGAAGAAGAGGTCGTTTACCGATTGGACAAAGACGAGTTCAGTAATGGTATGGCCATTGTTCGAGCAAATCTAGTTGCTATGATGGAAAGAGACTTGTTTCAAGCCAAGAATCTTAGGAGACTGATCGTTGAAGGATCCACTCCCACATTCCAACCCACATTGTCCGCGTACAAGATGCCTGATGCCGACAGGGCAAGCCTGAATGTTGATCAGAAACAAGCTATTGACAAAGTAATGAGCGCTAAAGACTATGCTTTGGTATTGGGAATGCCGGGGACAGGCAAGACGACAACCATTGCCCACATAATTCGGGCATTAGTGTCGCAAGGCAAAAGTGTGCTCCTCACGTCGTACACTCACACAGCAGTTGACAATATACTTTTGAAGATTCGAGATGACAACATTCGTATCTTGCGGATTGGGGCTGCCGCGAAGGTGCATCCTGAGGTTCAGCAGTTTGCCGACCTTGCGGCAGTTCCCAAAAGTACAATTGAAGAACTTAAAGGGGCATATGAGGACTCGCAGGTTGTTGCAACAACCTGTCTTGGGATCGGCCACAGCGTTTTTAGTCAGCGCATATTCGATTATTGCATTGTCGACGAAGCCTCCCAGATCACCTTGCCTGTATGTTTAGGTCCGATCCGAATGGCAAGGACATTCATCCTTGTCGGTGATCATTACCAACTGCCACCTCTTGTGCAGAATAAGGAGGCTCAAGCAGGGGGGCTCGACGTTAGTCTCTTCAAGCTTCTTTCTGATTCTCATCCGGCATCCGTCGTCAATCTTGAACATCAGTATCGAATGTGCAAAGACATTATGCTCCTCTCAAATACTCTCATCTACTCTGGGCAGCTCAAATGTGGGACCCAGGAGGTTGCTACGCGATCTTTGGAGGTACCCAATTTCGGCGGTCTCAGGCATCTTCATTTGGACCACATCCGACCCCAAGGGCAAAGGCAGGTCTGTTTGGGTACAAGTCAGGGTCGCTGCTGGCTTCGCGATTTAGTCGACCCATCCGCCAAAACCCGCCTTGTTAACACAGACACCCTGGCCACGCCAGCCTTAGATGTAGCACAGGGGTCGCGAATCGTCAATCCTACTGAGGCAACACTCTGCGCCCAACTCGTGGAGGCCTTCATCTCTTGCGGCATACCAGCACGAAGCATTGGTGTCATCACGTTCTATCGCAGCCAACTTTCACTTCTGAAACAGAATTTGCACCACCACCTACCGGATCTCGAAATGCACACCGCGGACAAATTCCAAGGACGAGATAAAGAAGTTGTGGTACTGAGCTGCGTGCGCAGCAATTTAGACCGCCATGTCGGCGATCTTCTTCGTGACTGGAGACGGGTTAATGTTGCTTTTACCCGGGCACGAACAAAGCTCCTTGTTGTTGGAAGCAAGAGCACTCTTCGTGGCGGTAATGAGTTGCTAGGAAAGTATGTGAAGCTAGTCGAAGAGCAAGGCTGGGTATACAACTTACCAAAGGGCGCTGTGGAAGATCACGTGTTCGACTCTGATAACATCCATACACAACCCCAGCCACAAGAAAGATCAACGCCCAATCCGAAGAGGAGTCCTACCTCTCAAAAGAAGGCCCGCAGCCCTCTAAGTCCAACACAAGGCCGAAATGCTCCACAGGGTCTCAGGAAGCCGGCAAAGAAGGGAGCCAACCTGCTGAGTGGTAGCAAGGTCCTTGGGAATAGACCGGTGCTTCAGGATGTGGTGAACGACCTTATTGGGTGATTATAGCCATTCACAACTTTACAACTTCCTCTTTCTTGGATAAGTTTCTGTTTATGGGTATTGTTTTGTTGGAGTTCTTATATACCATTCACTGGGAATTGGAATAATGACTTGGAGGGGCGGGAGCAACTGGGACATCAAGTTTTGAATATTGGTTGATACCAATATACGGTTGAATCGATTAAATCATGCTCTATATCTGGACGGTTCTTTTCCATGCTCAAATCAATCTACATTGCAACAACCTGTATAGGGCAATGCAAAACAACTCGTACATAAGGCCTTGTATTTGAAGAGAAAATAAGTTGTATTAACTGAGATAGCCCTCTGATGGCTACATGCCAGGGCATAGTTGACATGTCGGTTTTAAATCCTAGTTGCTCTCGGTTTATATAGGCTTAGATTTGTACATACCTAAAGCAGTGTGGGATATATGTTTCATTTCTAAACAATTGAGACGCCAACATACTCCCAGCAAACACACGAGCGACCGATGGTAGATCTAGTATCAGGGCTCTTTTGCACATTATCGCCAGTTCCGCCTACAGAAGGCAATGTCAGAACCGTATAACCGTCTTTTCCTTCCACAGCTTCCCTCCCCAGGGCACTCGCGGAGAAAGCAAACCAGGCCGGGGCTTCTGCATCTTTTGGGACAGTCTCTCGCCTGATATCAAGCAGTCAGCAGGCGATGCTAAGCTAACAGGGGGTTGAGGGATAAGATCAACAACATACAGTAGATTAAGGAATAGCCCCATGATCCATTTGGGAGGGAGGAGACCATGCCATTTTAAACTGACTATATCTGACGGCTTTGCTTCGTCCGCATCCGGTACGTTATAGCGACAAAGGTACGGGTCTACATCATCGCTCGCTAATACTCGAGGAGACCCGAGGGTCACCATCCCAAGCCATTCGGAAATTTCGTCGCAATTATCCTTTAATTCCTGCTCTGGCGCCATTTCTGTGACTTCAATTCCCTTGAAGGGTGGGACGAGGACATCACAGTAATCGGCGCGCACTGGTTCGCAGTCTATAATGTGAGGGTGGTTTCCTTTCAGAGAAGGATCGTCTAGTCATTCGTCAGTACGTGAAAAGAAGGGCGAAAGATATGGGCTATAGTACCGGAGGAAACACCACTCGACTCCGATGCCAGGTCATAGAAGAGCCAGGCCACGGTGTGATTGAGGACATTCTTGAATGCCCATACTATTCTCTCAAAACATTTCTTGCCGTGAAGCATTGACGGCAGCCGCAGGTTGATCTCCACGACTGTCGGAACACGTGAGTATATATATCTAGGGTGATGGCAATTCATATAGATACGTACGATATCTTTCTTTTGCATGTTTTCTGCCCCCACTGCGGATGGGCTTCCCTGTTAGACCTGTCCGTTCAAATACCTCCTTTCCAAGCTCTAATTTCAGGACTCCTATAGGTAGGTCAGTCTATAATAGCTGCCGGATGAGTAGTGTGCCCGTAGAGGGTGTACCATACCATCTCTCAGAGTAAACACGTTATCTGAGCCGGAGCGTCCCTCTGATATCATGAGAACATTTCCTATAACGTAGTTAGAATAGCCCTCATCTACAGTATCGGTCTCTATCGAATGAAGTGGGATCAGTGTAATATATTCTTAGGTACCTGATTTTATATAAGTATTGAAGAAGTCCCCCTCGAGCAGAGACGACAGTGACATGAATACTCTAGCATATCGCAGCTTGGGAAGCTTAGCGTTGAATGAGCTCTTAATGGCTTTGTATGTTGCTTCAGGTAATATAACCTCCACCTGTTCATACCTGGTCAACTAGAAAATTCCACACTAGGAAAGCTGTAATGGAGAAATAAAAGGGTCAATTACCGTGTGCACAAACGGATGCCCCCAAATAGCCGAGAAGGGCGGTTTTTTCAAAGGCGGCTGTTTGGAATCGATGATGGAAGGCAGTTGAGCCACTGCCGTGTAGCACTTCTCGCGTCTAGACGCGTCATCTTCCAGATCAAACATGGTGATTTGTCTTGGACAATCTCTATAGATATGTAGTCCTATGCACTGGGATCTTGGTATCAAATCAAATGGCGTGCTGTGGTTGGTTGGAAGAATCTGTCAAAGGTTGTTAGTTTAAAGAACCACAATGGAGAATTATCTCAGCCTTCTAATAGTGCTTTACCTACTGTAAGCAAATCATATATGTTTCAATGAGAGAATCAACAGACCCGTTATGTTGGCAGTTCGTCAGAAACAACTTGACATTGAAATTTGATGTCTTTTGGATGTGATGGAAAAGCGGGCGTCATCTGATTGGACAATGGACCCCCAATCAATGGATTCGGCCGTCAACTTTGATTCTATCAAACTACTCTAGATCCATTGAGTACATTCAGAAAAAGAAGATATAGCGACTATTTGGAGTGTCTTATTCGTAGCAAGGTTCTCTATTACTGTTGTCTCTCAGTCTCTACTGAAACCTGGTCTTCTTCAATTGTTTCACGCAACTAAAATTATTCCTGTCACAAAATATATCTCGAACGACAATGGAAAAAGTGAGTTATCGATTTTCCACAGTTCAGTATAAATACACGCGCAGATTCTCCGTTGATGTCAAATTTCAATCACCGAGTGAGATATTGTGCCGAATTGGCAACCGTTGATATTGATGATGGGCATGAAGTGCTCAATGCCTAAGGCACAAAGGCATCAACTAGCTTGATCATCCGCCTTTATCATTGCCGCCGCTACTCCAAACACCGATATGCAACGAACGGTTTCTCGGTGCAACTATCTATACATTGTGGTCGCAAGTCCCGGGTAACTACCTACACCCTCTCGCGAAAGTTTCTTCCGACTCTCATCGACCACAGCCCCTCGGGGCATTAGCGTGGGTTACCCCTACCATCGCCGCCATCACCACGACTCCGCCAGCAGGGACAGCAGCTACAAACAATGGCACCTCCCCGCCGCAATTTACTTCCCAAGGAGCGATTTGCATTTTCATTTGGAAGCCTCAAGACTCAGAGCTATCATGACCCTATTGCGCGAACGCCCGGATCTCATACGTGTGTCTCCGTCCAAGAAAACTGTTGCAGCTGCACAACACCTCTCAGAACAGGTTCAAGCTGATGATATATGTCATTCTTGGTAGAATCCGAACGATCGCATGGAACCCTACCGGTCAGCTTATTGCTACAGGCTCAGCGGACCGTACCCTTCGAATCTGGAACCCTGAGCGTGCGCAAGTCAAATACTCGACTGACCTTCGCGGTCACACCGCGGGGATCGAGAAAGTCTTATTTAACCCTGTTCGGGACTCGGAGCTTGCCAGCTGTTCTTCCGATGGCACAGTACGCTTCTGGGACGTTCGATCGAAGACATGTGTGAGCCGTCTGGATGTCGGCGGTGAGGCTTTCACCTTGTCTTGGTCGGCTGATGGGAGTACAATGGTAGTTGGAAGGAAGGTGAGGAAAGCTCCTTTGAACCTCTGCAGGGTATGGACAAGTGACCGGAACTTAGACTGACTGGTATATTCTTAATCACTAGGATGATACGCTGATACCAATCTCCATCGAATCGCCTTCTACCCCAACTGTGCTCGAAAACGGAGTAATCAGTATCCCATCTACGCAGTCTCAGAAACCCATCGCAGGCCCAACCACCTATAAAGTCCTAGACTCCCACCCACAGCCCATCCAAACAAACGCAACAACTTTCTCTCATCACATTTCCATACCAACCTCGCCCGATCTTCACCTCTTCGCAACAACCGGCGAAGGCACGGTCAAAATATTATCCTATCCATCCTTCGACATCCTCCACACCCTCAACGCTCACACGTCCGCCTGCCTTTCTATAGCCCTAGCACCTACGGGACGCTATCTCGCCGTCGGCGGCAGTGACGCCCTTATCTCTCTCTGGGATACATCAGATTGGATTTGTCGGCGCACCGTGTCTAGTAATAATGGCGGGGCCGTCCGCGGGGTGAGCTGGAGCTTCGACGGGAGATTTATCTGCGGTGCTTGTGATGAAGTAGGCTGTGGTGGTAACGGAATTGAGATCTTCCATGCTGAAACGGGCGAAAGTGTCTATACTGTTCCTACTGGTGGCGGGCTGAATTCGGGCATTCCTGCCGTCGCATGGCACCCCTCACGTTACTGGCTTGCATACTCTACTACAGCAGACGGTCCTGGAAGTGGCGGCGCTAGTGGACTCAAGATCGTGGGAGCTGCGGGTGGGAGTCTCTGATGGTTGTATGTTTAACGTACTGTGCGATTAGCTGTCACCGGATGCTTGGTTTACTGTATTCCGCAGAAAGGTTGAATTCTTCAGCCAACAGCTAGGAGCTTCCTCAACATGATTTATATACCCATGATATCGCTGTCTGACAGTAAATATACATAGTCAGGCTTGTTGATAAAAAAAAAAAAGAATTCATAAGTCGCTAACTAGAATCATGGAAAAGGACTGGAAAGAAGGTAGAATTGGTTTGAGTCCAGAGAGGACCCCGGCTGTATTTATCTAATATGGTAATACGCTGAGGGGAGTAACACTAGTCCTAAAGCCGCATGCAAAGCCTTTCGTTCCCTTCGTGAGCACCATAAGTTCAGGACGTATTAGAGATGTCAGAGTAACCCATTATCGCAATTCGACTACATCGGGACTCAAGATGCGAACAGACATCTGCCATCGTACAAGTTGTGCAAGCAGCAAGGGCCGCATGAATATACAGGTGTAGTCGATTGTGGAGTGGGAATTGACCACCTCATATGTGATGGAAGAAACAAAGTCCAAGATTTAGAGTAGAGTGATCTATCAGAAAAGCCCAAGGGCGACAAATGCAGATACAACTTCGCGGTCGACGTTGAGGAGCCATTCGTCTTGGAATCGTTGTTCACCACCGCATCCAACAACCAACGAGCGCAGTCGATCTCGGATGAAGTCGCGAATGCTGATCTTGTGAAGGATGTCAGAGTTTTCCCAGTGACGTTTGCGCTCGTTCTCGGGCGGTTCATTCTCATCCCACTTGCCAGTTTCTGCGTTATTCCAGTAGACCAGGTGATCACCAGCACGGGGATCATTGTCGGTCTCGGTTCCTTCGGCGAGCTCGGTGACAATGTCTGCCCATGTGTTGAGATAGGATTGGAGATGACTAAGTATGTATGGTGGTGGTTGTGTGTCTGGGCCATTTAGGTTGAGTAGTTGGGTGAGTGCAAGCGCATGAAGTTTCTTTTGCGTTGTGCTTCCGATGTTGTCATAGTGGAGGAACCATTCTGTGAGCAGCCAGGTAAGGGTCTGTTCTTCAGATGTGCCCGTCGCGGCGGAAACGGCTGATGCGAAGATCTTTGGGTACGCCAGTGCTAAGCGGGCAAGGACGGAGAAATAGTCCGTCTCAACGACGCCATATACAGATGTTTGTTTTCTGTTAGGTCCGGTAGTCTGGCTGGCCTCATGGGCGGAGTAGAGGCCTTCCAGGAGAGATGATAGGAAGGAACTATCGAGGAGCGATCGCGCGATAACATTATATGAGTTTTCGCTGCCGCCATCCACGGCCTCAGTGCCACGTATTATTAGCTCGACCAAGCGTGGCACGACGCCGAGGCGTTGGCGTGTTGTAGATTTCAAGAGACTCTCAAGAGAAGCAAGGAAAGGAAGTCGTACTCGGTCACTGAGCACCTCTTGTGGCGCAAGGTAGATATATGATTCTGCGATTTGAAGGGCTTGCGGTACACTATCCGTGGCGTCTTCAAAAATGGGGAGAAGTGCAGGAAGAAGAGAAAGGATTTCAGGAGAAGCTGGGGCTGGAGTTTGCGCCAAAATAGCACCCCAGAGGTCTAGTGCCTCGTCGAGCAGGTATACCAGTGTTTCCTGTGAGCGAATTAGTATTCCTGCACGGATCAATTCAATAAGGAGTAAGCGTACAGAGCCTGGCTCCACTGAGCTCTGAATGAGAGGTAGGATAAGAGAGTGGTATCGCACTGAATCTTGCTTAAGGGAGTTGATCAACGATGACAGTAAGGTAAGAATAGCCTGTTTCATGAGATGTTCCTCCCCGGAACTTTCCCATAGCGGGGGTAACAACGACAGTATCTGATCTGAGAACGGGGCAATCTGGGGGGTCATTAGCATACCCGTGTGGAGGTAACGAGGGATAGGAAAATTCATACATGGTCTTCCATCTTGATTACAGCCACGCGGACCGTATCTAAAAGTCCCATCTTGGTTTCAGAGAGTTCAACCTCTTGAACCAAGGACATCAAGTCGTGGAGGATGGAGGGAGCATAGGGCAGAAAGCCAGTGGGGGAGAACTCGAACGGATCTAACACGTTCTTTAGCTGTCTACCGGCTGTGATGCGGACTACCAAGTCGTTCAACGGATCTTGCTTGCTAAGAAGGTGCTGGAAGATCTGATAGATGGCAGCTGTGTTCAGCTCGCTCGACTTGACTGGGACCCACTGGCCCAACAGAATTGCAATTCTCCGTCTCAAAACGTTATAGCCCTGCTCTTGAATCTGCACTTCTGGGACAAGTGTTGTCTCTAAGAATTTGTTGAAATCCAAATGCTGCTCGAGACTTGCGGAGGCAAGCCCGATCGCTGAGTATAATGAATCTTTCAGTAGCACATCACGATTTTCGGGGCCTGGTAGTATCTTGTCAACAACAGAGTCCAGCTCCGCCTTATGGTTTCAGGTACTTACTTGCAAAGTTGTAGAAGACGGTTAAAAGTCGCGGGATGAGCAGGTCTTTAAAATGGATGACCAGATCAAGGAAAAGCTTCTCGGAACATGATCGAATAGAGAACTCCCAAGCGTCGGAAACATCTTCTTCTTTCCGTTCCCACTCTTCAGGGTCTTCCTCCCATTCTTGAAAATCGCTTGTTCTGAACCGGAAGAACTGTGTGACGAGGAGCTCCATGACATTGACCACAAAGTTGTGGGTAAAGAGTTCTGCCTTGATAAGTTCAATGGACCGCTTTTTCTCCTCTTTATCTTCAGGGGTCTGGTACTTGAAGGTCTGAGCTGGGTTGAAAGCCATTTTGGAACAAGCTCTGATCAGAAGAAGGGCTTTAAGCCCAGCTTTTTCCATCAGCGACTTTCTATCTTGTTCACCAGTTGCGCCTAGCTGTCCATAGTTCTCCCCTAATTTAACCACTAGACTCCAATATGATCGGACGAGGGGAATACTGTCTGGTAGCAATGCGAAAGAGGCAGCACGGTCCTTGGCCATCTCGACGTGGAGCTTCGATAGCTGTAAAATATGTTTCTCGACCGCCTTCTGCACATTCTCTGGCAGATTAATGGAACCGCTGATGAAGTGAAGGAAGCGACTCAAGTGAGAATGTGTCAAAAGCCAAAAATCTTTGACTTCGTTATGACGGTTGGGGTGTTCATATCCAGCTATCACAAGGCGCCTAACGACCTTGAGAGACACTAGACTTTGTTCAAGACTCTCCAACAATGCGCCTTCGTCAGCAACGCCCTGTTCTAAAAGCGATGCCCATTTGTTCACTTTGTCCACATATATACTTCCCAGAAGATGGAAGATCTCTGGAGCAACAGATTGAAGATTGGTTCGTGTCCTTTGCAACCGTGCTGTTGATAGTTCCTTCGTTATCTGCAAGATGATTGTAAGGGTTCGTGGCAATTGCACTGGGTTGGCGCCTGGCTGTATTGAGGAACGGAGGAAGGCTATAAGCGATGAGATACCGTCGGGCCTTGATGAAATAGTCAGAGGGACAGCTACCAAGTTTGAAGAGAAAGAATACGCACCAGTCTTGAGGGAATTCATAGCGCATAATCTTGGAGATCATTAATGCATTGTGTAGAGCTAGAAGAGCCGCGGGCTCCACAACACCCGCTTGTAAGGCTCTATTCTTTATCTGCTCTTTTTCTTCCTTTTTTATGGCGCTGTTAAAAATATTAGGAACTGCATCTTTCCACCGATATAGGATTGTGACAGCACAGGCTTACTTTGTCGCGGTCTTTCGCCAGTACTTATCGATGCCGTTCTTCAATTGGATGATGGCAAGGTATCGGACTTCGTTGGGCACTGAGTGATCTAGGAAGACATCCTATAGAAATAAGTAAGGAAACAATTAAATATTGAAGGTTCAAATTACCTGGAGGGATGTATAGTATTTCTCCTGCTTTTCCCAGTTTTGCAATTGCTGGGTTCCAGTGTGCACCTGCTGCTGCGTCGAGCTTGCTGCCAGAACCAAGGCATTGAGAACATTCTGTGGAGTCAGAGGGTTCGACTCCCCGGGTAGCTCGACGACGTGAGCCATACTAAGGAGTGGCTGAAAGCTTGAGTTGGAGGTGAAAGCTATAGATAGCTATCAAGCAATTGAGTCCAACCCCCAATATCAGCCAAGAGAGAAACCTCCAAGTCACTGGGGAAACATAGAATATGGGGTTTGACCTGTTCCTTGAAATCCTATCTTGTGGCAAGATGTGAAAGATTACTATTGATAGGAAGAGTAACACGCAAAGAGCTCTCTCCGTTGTCCGTATACATTTGCCCGTATTCTTTGCTCCCCGCCTTAGCGGGACGCTCCGGAAAATCAATATTCCTCTCCGTTGTAGCCCTAGGGCTGGACCCTCAGCACTAGGCCAATACGGAACTTATACTTAGGGCTGAGATAGCATCTGGTTGCATGACATCATCACTACAACTGAGATCCATCTCCATTGCCAGGACTAATTACTCTATACAGTAGAAGTATGCAATGCATTCAGTTACATAGATATGATGTATTATGATGCAACATCTCTATGCTCCTGATGGACAGCTTTCAGTCATGGGTATATAGTTGGAAACGGCGCCTTTGTTGCTGGGCTCATAAGGGATTTTTTTAAACAATCAAAACGCTACCTTATTCGAATAGTTTTATATCTTTGGGCCCTTTTAGTTACTTTTAGAGAACATCCACATACATAGCACAATGGCAGATTCCGACACACTTCGTATGGCATTCCGTGCTGAGCAAGACCTTAACTCCTATCAAATGAAGCAAGGTCTTGGACCGAAGAGCGACTCCGGTACGAAGAGCCTTGCTACATGTGTTGATTCATAGTACTAAGAAAATATGAAGTCCTCGAGTCCAACATCGACGAAAGGGCGGATAATAAATTCCGTGAAGCAACGGGAATCAAAACTGGTCGAGAGGCAGGCGCTTCAGGGAGCAACCGGAAACCCATCCCCGAAGACGAGGGAGGCACCCGAGACTCTCGTGGAAGGTTGGTGTTTTCCTTACACTTCTCTTTGGTTTAATCCGATGCTAATCATAATCAGATTGGCACCAGCTGGCGAATATGAAGGCACCGGAGGCCCTGAGGATAAGGTGAAGGTCGAGTCGGAACGCCGTCCGGGTGATCAAGACACACTTAACCTTCAGGATCTGAAGAATAAAGGACTTGCTCGGTAAGGATTCATACTAGAAAGCCTTTGAGACCATCAGAACATACTAGTTAGCATGATTTAGGTCATGATATAATATGATGTGGTTAATCTAGACTCAGCCCTAAAGATACGTTAATCATCTATCATCTAATTAAGAGAAGGGTCTTGGAGAACCTATATGTTAGAACAAAAACACGCAATCTACTATTGGATAGGCATTCGCGGTTATGATTAAAAGTAAAGGAAGATGAATACATGACTTGGACAGCATATCACCTTCTGAAAGAGTCTAGGCACATAGCCCAAGGGTCGGTTTTTGGACCCCACTCAGCACTACAGAGTAAAACAAAGAACAAACCACCGTCTGTCATGCACGAGAGATCCACCGTCATCCCTAGGACTGTGTAGTTCTAGTACTAGTACGGAGTAGTAGTGAGCTAATCCCCCCACATGGGCAGTGCTCCGATAGGTTTCTGCGTAAATACACCCGTTGGATGAGCGGCTGGATTCCGGTCATGGAAGTTGCTATGGACCTCACTTTTGAACATTCATTGGCCGTATCGTCTCCCAATATCCAATACAATGCTGTTGGGAGCCTACTAAGATTGTAGATCGATTTATGAGAGGTTCCACAGGGCTGGACTGCCCCGCTTCTTTCCTTTATTGATCCCTGCTATCCCTGCATGCTTTTATACGCCGAATTATCATGTCAGTCATTTTTAATAATCCAATGCATCGATTTTTGTGGTTGGGCCGCCTTACGCCCGGACTTTGGACAAGACACTTTCGTCCGGCGCGAACAGAATATATAAAGCACTCGCTTTCCCCTCTACTAGAGCTCATCTCGTCTAACCCAAACACACCCATCATACTTGCCAACATGTCATCTACTACCACTGATCAGCAGCCAATCGAGACCCGGCTCTTTATCAATGGCGAGGTAAGCATAGTCAGAATATCATGACTATAAGGCTTCGTGCTCACCAAGCGTCCTTCCGTACTCATAGTTTCAACCAGCTACGAGTGGGAAAACATTCAAGTTGATTAATCCATATACACATGAACCAGTTGCAGACGGTATTTTGCTGGCCCGGCCACCGATATTGCAAGGTGTGCTTATCCACAGGAGATGCTAACTCTCTCTTTTAGTCCATGAAGCAAGCGAGCAAGATGTGGACAAGGCTGTGGCAGCAGCCAAAGCTGCTTTCCCAGCTTGGAGAGACCTCACCCCGGATGATAGGGGTGTCTACTTGCGCAAACTGTCAAGTTTAATTAAGGAGAATATACCTGAATTGGCTCGTTTGGAGTCCATCTCTATGGGAAAGCCTGTATCGCTTTACATAGATGGCAAAATGGCTGCAGACACTTTTGCTTATTTTGCAGAGACTGGCTGGCACGCGCAAGGAACTAGCAGCGTGAATACCCCTGGCGTTCTTGGTCTTTCGCTTAGGCAGCCGTACGGCGTCGTTGGCGCTATCATCCCTTGGAATGTGCCACTGGCGCTTTTCTCCTTTAAGGTTGCCCCTGCTTTGGCCGCTGGAAACACTGTGGTGCTCAAGAGTAGCGAGAAGGCGCCCTTGACTGTAAGTTTTAGCCATTAATCCCTTCCTCAGGTATCTATTTCTTTTGACATCTTTTTGTGACAGTCTGCTTTCGCGGCCAAATTGATTGCAGAAGCTGGCTTCCCACCCGGCGTCGTCAACATCATCTCTGGCTTCGGGAACCCAGCCGGCAGTGCCATAGCATCCCATATGGATGTGCGCTGCCTGAGCTTCACTGGCTCCACAGCCACCGGTCAAAAAATCCAAATCGCAGCAGCCAAGTCTAACATGAAAGTGGTCCACTTGGAACTAGGCGGCAAAACACCCGCAATCATCTTCGAAGATGCAGATATCGAGAAGGCAGCAGAAAAGACTCAGTTCAGCATCCACTTCACGAGCGGACAAACGTGCTTCGCGAACTCCCGCATTTATGTGCAGGAGTCTGTTGCAGATAAATTCATATCAATGTTCAAGGAGAAGTTTGGCGCCGCGGCGCACATGGGCAATCCCCTCGAGCCGACGACGAACCACGGTCCGCAGGCAGACAATATTCAGTATGAGCGAGTTAAGTCGTACCTGGAGATCGGGGAAACGGACGGAAAGCTCACGCTGGGAGGTGATGGCGGAAAGGGCTTCATCAAGCCAACCGTCTTTGAGAATGTGCCTGATGACTCTCGGCTTATGAAAGAGGAGGTCTTTGGACCTGTTGTGGCGATCAATACGTTCAAGACTGAGGAGGAGGCGATTGAACGGGCTAATGCCTCCGAGTTTGGTCTTTATGCCTCTGTTTTCACGAAGGATATGGATCGTGCAGTACGGCTGTCTAAGCTTCTCGAGGCAGGTACGGTCGGTGTCAACTGTACGAGTCCCAGTATGGTGAAGGATATGCCAATGGGCGGATACAAGCAGAGCGGCTTGGGTCGGGAGGGTTTGTTGAGCGGCTTGGACAGCTACCTGGAGACAAAAACTGTTTTGATCAGTACTAGCTCTTGATGCACTCACATATAACGTACTCAAAAATCTTGTAAGAACGGTGGATAGCAAACTTTACATTTTTGAATACAATAGGAAACTTGGCTTTAACTACAATTCTCAATCAAAAAGTCCTACTAAGGAGGTCCAAAAAAATGAGGGTGGGAGCGAAGAGCTATTAGATATTCTTCCTCCGGGCCGGAGAACACTGATAGCTACTAAGAAAGGATGTCGTAGACCGCTACCTAGGTAAATGAGAAGGCAGAAGTACGCTGTACTACAAAAGTCTACGATTTCCATAGGTGGTTGTGTCACTATGTTAATTCTCTTGTGCTCACGGCATCATTTATGTAGTCATTATAAATCTGCTTTTTCTATAATATAAAACTTTCAAACACGGCCTGCTGGCAAACTTAAAATAAGTACATATATAGAGACATATCGCATAACATTGCCTTAGAAAAGACAAAACAGAAGGCCAATCAACATACCGGAAATAGATCCAACAGCGGGCGTACCGAAGGGAATAGCAACGTTGGGCGTAGGGGTCGATGAGGAAGAAGATCCACTGTTGCTCGCACCCTTCTTGGTTGCGGTGACCTTGACGTTGTAACCGCTCTTAGAATCGTAGGGGAAGGGGCTCGTGTAGTTGTAAGTCGCAGTAGTTCCCTTATAGGTCTCCTTGACAATGTCCAGAATTCCATGACCAGCCGAGCAGTTTCCGCTAGTCAAGGCGTTGGGCCACACAGGCGAGAACTTGGAGTACTCGCCAGAGGACATAGGTCCGGGGTATGTCTCGTTGAGACGAAGGTTTGTCGTGTCAACATCATAGTTGACATAGCCAGTCTTGTTGGCCACAATCTCAAGGATATTGGCACCACAATCCCATCGGCCAAGGGATGGCAGACCCCAGTTGGCTGACATGGAAGCGATGATCGAATAGTGAGTATAAAACGTATCATCAGTGGTGCCCTTAAGGTGGCCAGGGATGGCTCCACCCAAGAGAATGCTCATGATCTTGTTTCCCTTGGGGTAGGTCTTGTCTTCGTCAAAAGTGAGAAGAAGCAGAGTGTTTTCCATAAAATAGGAGTTGTCGAGCAACTGGGAGACCCAGGTACGTTCCCACTTAGCGGCAAAAGTGATGTTGGTATCGTGCGCATCGTTGGTCATGTTGGGGGTAATGAAAGCGTACTGAGGAAGCTTCTTATCGGTTAGGTCGTCCTCAAAGTTGGTGAAGTTTTTGATTTGACGCAAACGCGTGCTGTTCTTGGTGACCGAGTCAAAGAGCACCAACGGGTTGTGCTTTCGCACGTAATCATTGGCATAAGTCTCCTGGTTGGAGTAGTTGTATCCCTGGAAGCCAGGGTAAGGCAAATGTTCCTGGTACTCACCCCAGGAAATGTGCTTAGTGTCGAACAAGTCGGCGATGGTCGAGACGTTAGCCGGGATCTGGTTGAAATTATCATTGTCCATGCCAAACGTGTCACCTCCGGCGGAAGCGCAGTAGTTGGGCTCAGAGGGATGGGTAACTGCAAAGAAATTGGTGCTTGGATAGTCAGCAAGGAATTTCGAAAGTTGAGCAAGCATCAACAAGCAAGTCTTACAGAGTGATTCCTTGCTTGGCCAGCCATTGGTAGTTCTCATCGGCAGACGCATCCGAGTAGTCCTATGAAATATATGCGTTAGGATGTAAGGGGGACAAGAATTAGGGTACGTCACATACAATGTTTTCCAACCAAACTTGGAAGAATCTGTCAAAGGCCAGGCCAGTCACATTGGATACAGGAGAGTAGGGCTCGGTGGTAGCCGCAGCCTTTTCAATGTCTGATAGGGAAGGCTCACTCTGCGTGGCCGTCTGGGCATAGGCCAAAGAGGCCGCGAATAAACTTGCAATGAAGGACTTCATCTTTGACATCTATGTGGTCTCTTCTTGTCAAGAGATTGTCCCTGTCACAGATACAAGAGGAAAAATGCAAAGAATGATCAGCAAAGGGGGCGCGACCACCTGTCTTTATAGGCAGGAGCGAGGAAAATTCTATCGCATAGGACCATGTGTTATGCGCACGAGGTCAGTAGGGCAGATTGTAGTGTACCTAGTACTTCTAGCAGTATATTGCGCTACTGAGGAGTTGTATCCACCAAGGTAGTTAGATAATTGAGCGTGTAGAACCACGAGGTCAGGGAAGCTTGTTTCATTCGACGGCTGCCATTTCGGCTAATTGAACCGCAGGCAACAGTTCAATCGCTTAGTAGTATTGTTTGTAAAAACTAGTCTGGGATTGGGTCGCGGGATGGGACAGAACGAAGGAAGTTCAGGGCCCCTTGCAGTACAGACAGGAATACTCCGGAGGACATGCGACAACGACTTCGATCCCGGTGAAGTGGGGCCCGGAATCAGGTCTGGGCGAATGCTTATCCACACCCTCGGTGGGGTCGAAAGTCTGGAGGATTGGGAGGGTAGCACGTGCGCCATCTTCTGGTTGATAATTCCAGCCCCTAGTACTAGTACCATATGTCCATTTGGAGTGGAGTAATCAAACATGGATAGGATAAGACGATGCTACCATAATAGTAGCAGTGACCACGTACTGCACCTAATACCTTCAGGGCTGACCGGTCCGGCTCGGTCGGAATGGAGGCACGAGCCTTGCACTTCTTCAATGCCAACGTTGTTGCAATTTACAAACTATCGCATGACCAACTACAGGCTATCATAACATTCTTCCCGTCATGTATCCATCCATTCCGACAAAGGCACGCGTCAATTTGCGAAGCCCTTAATGGATATATACAAACTAAAGAATATATCATTCTGTGGTTGACAACCACTCCCGATATGTATGTATGATAACAGCCAGATCAAAATCTTGGAGTGCTGATATCATGATACTGTCGGGTTTCTTTCCATTTTTCAATCCTATACTACTGCACAAGTTTCTTACATACCATGCCAATAGGAGTAGCTTAAATTGCAGGTGGATAACGGCCTTCTCTAAGAAGACATGCTAGGCAATTGAGCACACACACACACACACACACACAATGTAATTACCTTACGTGTACGTATACAATAAACCCTGATCGGAGCGTTAAATAAGGGTATCTACTCTCCTAGGGTGAATAGAAATGCTGAGACACCGTGCGGATGTCGTGGGATTCTAGGTGTTCTTATGATGATCCATCTTTCAGCGAGCCCTGAAGGCATAATCAATTGCCCTAATCAACAAAAAGGGATCAATCCGAGATAGGTTCTCCATTTGGATTATGCCTAGAGTGATGTCACTTCTATAGCTGTGTCAATTACGGTTAGGCATCGTATATATCCCGGATTTAATTCGGGTTTAACGATAGTTCTGCCAACCTAAACTCACCTTAGAACACACCGCAATGAAAGAATCCATTGACTTCTGCTCAATACAGAAATATCCTCCAATCTATAGAACATCCGTGGAAAGAGATTCCAAGGGTTTTCTAACAAACGAACTAGTTTTGAAGTTCCACTCGGAACAGGCCTAGTATTTATGCCATTTACCTTACACGGCCATCCACATCCTGTACTCTTAAGTAAATATATATTGCTTTCTTTTCTTCCTCATTCTTAAGAAAGGCAGAGTTAGTCCCATCATAATCAACTTCCACCAACTGAATATAAAATGACGGTCGACAATCGTGAACGATCACGTGGTTCGTTTCGACCTCGGCAGATCGAAGTCCGATCTGGGGAACCGGCCGACAGCATTGGCCTCCGCAACCGCCTGCCTTTTCCCGCTCACATTGTTGACTCCCTCGTTTACAAAACGATTTCTCTTGATAAAACACCATGATTATACAATGAGCTCGACAAATTTTGCCGCTGCTCAGGAGCGCGTTCTGGAACGTCGTCGTCTCCGCGAAGCCGAAGCTCGCGCTAGATTTGCGGAACAGCAGCGGACGTCCCCGGTTAACCATCCCGCGTTGCAGAGACTCCCTTATCCTTTGAATAGAATACCTGTCTCAGGCCTCTCATTATGGAATACGATAAAAGGTCGCGAGGGTAATAGGCCTGCTTTCCGTGTTGGACAGGTTGATGCTGAACTCTTGGACGAGGAACTGCTGGGGTTACTGAAAGAGCAAGTCGGAAATGCTTTGAAGTATTTTGGTGTAGGTTGCTCTCGTCTGTATTCAACATTTTATTATATGGTGTCCGCTAATGTTCCGAGATTATAGCCCCAGGCCCATGAGGATTGGTCCCACGAAATCCAGTTTGTTCTACGTGCAATCTTGTTCAAGCTCTCGATTTGGGATCACGACGCATCTTATGGTGCGGCCTTACAAAATTTGAAGTACGTAGACACTCGCAGCAAGGGCCCAATTCATTCAGCCCCGACAAAGTGGCAGAAGTCTGTGTATGGCCTACTCACAGTCGGTGGTCGCTACGCCTGGGAGAAATGGGAAAGTTGGTTGATCAACCAAGAAGGCGGCTATGACGAGGTGAGTGCTGATGGCAACCCTTCAGTTATACATTATGCTCATATTAGTAGCCGTCTCGAGAAGTGCGTATGCTGGCTCGTATGACAGATCTCGTTTCCACGACACACTCGATCGCGGCTTTTATCTCTTTCCTTGTATTCCTAGTCAACGGCCGATACCGAACATTAGTCGACCGCATCCTTCGCATACGCCTCACTCCTCCCTCCGCACAGGCAAGCCGCGAGGTTTCATTTGAATACTTGAATCGACAACTTGTGTGGCACGCATTCACGGAGTTCCTTTTGTTTCTGCTACCACTTGTGGGAATCAGCAGATGGCGACGATGGATATCTCGTGCATGGCGGAAAACAATGTCTAGTATTAGATCGAGTGATGGAGATTCTGAAGAAACTGAGAAGCAAGGAGAGTTAGCATTCCTTCCCGAAAGGACCTGCGCTATATGTTACAAAGCGAGCAATCCAGAGTCCGCAACAGAAAGCGAAGTGATCGCTGCATCGGCGGCCTCTGGGGGAATCCTTGGGTCCGCCCAGACGGATATTACAAATCCTTATGAGGCAATCCCATGTGGCTGCGTATACTGCTTCGTCTGTCTGGTGCAAAAGGTCGAAGGTGAGGAAGGAGAGGGCTGGATTTGTCTCCGCTGCGGTCAGATTGTTAAGAAATGCAAACCCTGGCACGGCGATGTTCTCGAGGAGGCTCGACCTCAATCGAGCTCAGGGAAAATGGTTGGCTTTGCTGTAGACGATGATTCTGGTGTCCATCATATTGAGTCTGAGAAGGGGGTGGATGATTCCGTTGAGAAATCAGCCCTACTGCAGGATCCTACGTCAGATGAAGGGCTACAGCACTCTGGCCAGTGGTCTACAATTGACCGAGAATCAGATTAATGTGGCGGGATAACATACTCGTCAGAAAGCGACAGGCGTCAATCACTTCACTTTTATAATATGATACGATGAATTATTATTATTATTACTAGGAGTCAGCTTTTATCAAAGATACCCAGTTGCACTGGCCCTTTAGCTTTCTTGATTATCCATCTAGGACTTACTAAAAGCACTATGTACCCTTCCAGTACCCTATATTGCCTCTGGCATATACAGATCCCGTGGACCTAGAGGGGCTGTGTTTTCTCGGCCCGAGTACGCAAATATGTACGATCCACTGGCCTTGAATCTGAGTGCTTTGCCGGGTTGAGAATCTACTAGAGCTACCAATTGAAACGCGTATGCACATACATGCACAGTATACGGATACATTAGCCTGGAGAAAGGATGTATCCCTATTCTTGTCATCAGTATTCGAAAGTTCCCCACTTTATACCCGGGCCATTGTCAAATCATAGCCTGCAATTGAAGTATACTCACCAAAAACAACGACTAATAGGATTAATTCCGATTATTCAACTTCCCCCGCAACGGACATGTCGCCGATGCTATTTACGGAGACACGTACCAACTCCGATTTACCGGGAGATGAGGGGCTCACTTCCACCGAACATCACTCTACCGTCTTTATATTTTATAAGCTGTATTGCCCCTCTCTACTGTCGATCTAAGACATAGGGTCATTTGAGCTGTCCTGAAGCATCCAACGGCAATCTCTATTCGAGTTGTTCAACGTTCACCATGGATTCCTCCAAACCCGTCTCCTCCACTTTTGGAGAAGCGAAATACATCGAATTTCCCTGTCTTCCAGAGGGCACAAAGCATGAGGATGGAACGCTTGCACTGAACCGCTACTCTTCAACCATTACTAGAGGCCATGACTTTCCGGGCGCGAAGGTAGGTAGTTCCCTTGAGAACTTGGAGCTTGATCCCGATCGTACTGACAGCAACTTCCCTTTCTACTAGGCAATGCTCTATGCTGCAGGGGTTCCTGACCAGAACGCTATGGCAAAGAGTCCTCAGGTAGGAATTGCGTCTGTGTGGTGGGAAGGAAATCCGTGTAACATGCACCTGCTGGATATGGGCAAGACGGTGAAGAAGTCCGTCGAGGGCCAGGGCATGATCGGTTGGCAATATAACACCATTGGCGTTTCAGATGCCATCACCATGGGCAGTGAAGGTCAGTGACTTGGAAGACTACTCGCGAGGTACATCGAAGACATACCTGACACTACAACAGGCATGAGGTTTTCTCTCCAAACACGTGAGGTCATTGCAGATAGTGTTGAGACCGTGACATGTGCTCAGTACCACGATGCCTGCATTGCCATTCCCGGGTGCGACAAAAACATGCCTGGAGTGGTGATGGGTATGGCCAGGCATAACCGGCCCTCCATCATGGTCTACGGCGGGACTATTCAGATTGGGTATTCCAACCTCCTACGAAAGCCAATCAACGTTTCAAGTTGCTTCGAAGCCGCCGGGGCTTATTCATATGATACTTTGCGTCAGCCGGACGATGGAGGAGACACCAGTAAGACCAAGGATGAGATCATGGATGATCTTGAGAGACATGCCTGTCCCAGTGCGGGCGCATGTGGAGGCATGTTCACTGCGAACACAATGGCCACAGCTATCGAGTCGATGGGCTTGTCTTTGCCTGGCTCCTCTTCTACCCCCGCTACATCTCCATCGAAAATGCGAGAGTGTGTTAAGGTGGCGGAAGCGATTAAAGTTTGCATGGAAAAGAATATAAGACCGCGTGACCTTTTGACTAAGCGGTCCTTCGAAAATGCCCTCGTCATGACGATGGCTCTTGGAGGAAGCACCAACGGTGTGCTCCACTTCCTTGCCATGGCTCGGACAGCTGGTGTAGAACTCACTCTGGATGATATTCAGAGGGTCAGTAACAAGATTCCATTCATTGCCGACCTTTCCCCCAGCGGAAAATACTACATGGCGGACTTGTACGATATTGGAGGCGTCCCCTCTGTTCAGAAGCTGTTGATTGCAGGGGGCTTGCTTGATGGCGATATTCCGACGGTTACTGGAAAGACTCTAGCCGAGAACGTGGCGTCGTTCCCATCGTTGCCGGACGATCAGGTTATTATTCGTCCTTTAGACAACCCTATTAAGGCAACTGGCCACCTTCAGATCCTCCGTGGAAACCTAGCCCCCGGAGGCGCTGTGGCCAAAATCACCGGCAAAGAGGGCACTAAGTTTGTAGGCAAGGCGCGAGTGTTTGATAAGGAGTATCAGCTTAATGATGCACTCAACCAGGGAAAAATACCCCGTGATGAGAATCTAGTGATCATCGTCCGCTATGAGGGCCCCAAGGGCGGACCAGGAATGCCGGAACAACTCAAGGCCAGCGCGGCATTGATGGGAGCCAAGCTTACCAACGTGGCACTGATCACTGATGGAAGATACTCAGGGGCAAGTCATGGGTTCATCGTCGGCCACATCGTACCGGAAGCCGCGGTAGGAGGGCCAATCGCTGTTGTCCGCGATGGGGACGTGGTCACCATCAATGCAGAGACCAACGAAATTAGCATGGATGTCTCGGATGAAGAAATTCAGCAACGGTTGAGAGAGTGGAATCCTCCCGCACCGCACGTTACACGCGGTGTGCTGGCTAAGTATGCCCGGCTGGTTGGAGATGCTTCCCATGGCGCAATGACAGACCTTTTTTAAGATATTTTAGGTACATGGTAGTAATGATTATGAATAAAACTGTATACGATTCCTTTACGAGCCGGCCATGCCATCATGTTCAATAATTATGTGTCAAGCGGGCCCGTGCATCAGCGCCCTGTACAGAGGGGGTGCCATACTGAATCCATGGCGATAGGAGATCGACTTATGGCTGAACCGAATACAGCAAATGCAACTCCTGTTTCAAATACTTGTTTGGCATAGATGTATCGTCAACTACAGGAGTATACAGCTTCCATTGGGAACGCCTGTTCCAGGGCCTCCTACATACTACAGTGACAGAATGGCAGTAAAAAAACAATCGAACGTAGTATGTGTAGCTCGACTCCCGCTATAAACAGCAGAATAGGAAGATAACCAACTCGATCTAATCAATAGTACTACCTACAGAGGATATGTCCTATTCTTACTGTATAGAGCATTCCCAATGTTCCATGATCGATGACGTCCCTGCTGAGTCAGTGCAGCCACGAGATGCAGACTGACGCCATGAGTGGGCAACGGCGGATGACTCATCCTCACCGATCCTCCACGGTGCTGGTTCAGAGCCTGTGACAGGCCGACGATGTATTTTTTTGCTCCAACAAACAAGCTCCACGAGAACCAGAGCTAAACACCATCACTTCCTCAGCAAGGAGTCGCGTTCCTTTTTTGACCACTAACAGGTGATCAGGGAGAAGCGACGTCTCACAGGGCCGGACCCTTTCGCATTGATCCCTTCAGGTAAGATGCTATGTTGTGTTGTTTGTCGCACAAAGTATCCGCTCGTACTGCCTCTGAACGTGGTGCGAATTCTTGCAAGTAACCTTGGTTCTAGCTAACCATTCTTCCAATGATCGTAGCATATATCCCACGTTTCCCCTCGTCTCCTGGAACATACCATTAATCCGTGTGGCCTGTATCTGGGCCTTACTGTCTTGCCCGCCTCCTGGGATAGAGTCAACTCGTCATTGGGAACTTCTCGGAGAATCAATAGTCGCTCCTTTCTTGGCTTTGCCTTAAACTGTGGATCTCCCAGATTTCCCCGGAGCGCCCAAAGATAGACTGAAGACCAACGTGTTGCATGCTTGTCATCTATTGGTCCGAGTACTCTCGGCGGGCGCACTCATAGATACAAACCAAGAACATCGGGTCGCGACCTCTCCGGCTCTCCCTTACCTCTTCTGAGAGATCCAAACTGTAATTTGGATTCATCTCACCATCTGAGACGGTGAATTGCTTTGATTGACCCGCTTATTTGCCTCACTTTTGCGCTAAACCCGGATCTATCCACCAAAGAGGTTCCGCCCTTTCATCTCGTGTAGATTCCAAGTGCATTCCAGAACACCTCCCCCGTAATCACACAAGGATCGCCCGGGTGAGCTGTTTGGCACTAGACATTGTGGCGTGGTAAACAGTGAGTGAATGAATGAATACGTTGTCCGGAAAGGGGGAGCTGTTCAGACTGGGCCAGATCGGCATCATTATAAGTTAAAGACTTGTCGCAATGGGGCCGACTGATTCGCCAATACTCCCTACGACTTCCCGTCTAAGCGTTTCGGATATTAGTGCTGTCATACGCTTCTGGGACTCTATCTACTCTGTCTTCGCCAACCCAAGTGCCTTACTTTCTTTCACTCGCCTTTCCCAAAACCTCGACCGTGATGGATTCTTGAGTTCACCCAAAGCCTTATTGCTGAGTACCTGCTTAATCATCATGGCTGGTTGTGGGTTCTTGTCCATGATTCTGCGACGCAAGAGCTCTGGGCGGACTTCGGGGAACAAACGTTGTCGCCGGGCTGCTCGTCGAAATGCCTCCAAATCGTCCGCTGGAACTTTTACCTCGTCCGAAGACGAAGGGTATGATAGCAGTGGATCATTGCGACATGGCACAGACAGCACCTTCTCTGCAGAGAAGACGGAGCCTCAACGCCGTGAGCTGTCAGACGATGGTCTGCGCATCCCTAACCCTACCCTGCTATCGACCATTGCTGACGGGCAAGTAGCGCAAACCACAGATCCTGGCCTACTCAAGAAACATTCAACATATATATCCTACACTACATCTGTCGCAACATATCCGTCCATAAGAACTTTTCACAAGCCGCATCCACAGAAGGACAAGTTGCCGATAAAACCATCTCCAATCCCGTTGCTGGTCTTTGTGCACGGCTTGGGTGGCTCGCTAGCCCAATTCAATCATCTGCTGACCAGCTTGTCTAACGTCGGGCCGTGCTTCGGAATAGATCTGCCCGGTTGTGGATTGTCGAAGTTTGAGCCTGCTTCTTGGGATGCGTATAAGGTCGAAGCGCTTGCAGAACTGCTTGCGACCGCTATTGAAGAGCATCGTGATAAAGACGCCGGTCAGGGGGTGGTCTTAATTTCCCACAGTTTGGGCTGTTCCCTTTCAGCAATGTTGGCATCCGCGACCTCTCCTGTGGGGCCCAACTTGAAGAAGCATATTCTCGGGCTCATCGCTGTCTGTCCCCGCGCGTCGCCCCCATCTTTCAAAGAAGTTACGTCTTTCCGCCGCCTCCTCAACATACCGGGTCCGATCTTTGACCTTTGGCGATACTGGGATCGACGAGGCGGTCTGAAGAGCGCCAGTGTCAACCGTCTCGTCGGCGCAGATGCTGATTCCGATACAAGAGAACTCCAAGTGCGGTACAACAAACAAAGCAAGACACCTGTGTGGAGACGCATGGCCTGGGGTACTCTTCCCACGTATGATGGTGTCGATGGAACCGCTGTAGGAGGTATTCCAGGGGAGCAGACCTGGGCAGGAGTACAGACGCCAACCTTACTTGTGGCTGGCGAATCTGACACAGTGACGAAGCCTGCAGAATTGCAAAAAATTCTCAGATTCTTCGGGGGCAAAGACTCAAAGGCTGAAGAAAGCAGCAACAGTAGCAACATTATTCCGGACGCTTCCGAAGTTGATAGCCAGGTTCCAGCCCCCTACAACCGCTTAGCCCACGAAGAGGAGTTTGGTGTTGAGCCTCAAGTGAATGAGAAGGAGATGGAGAACACTTCGGAGAAGCCACTTCAAGCTAAACGCTCTGTCAAGACAGTTATCCTGCCAGCTCCAGCCTCTCACGCTCTTCTTTACGATCGTGCGACATATCGCACTCTAGCTGGAATCATCCAAGACTTCCTTCAGCAGCATGTTGATAATCGACTGAGTCTCGGATGGCAGCTGCAGTATCTTAATACTTCGGGCAAGTGGGACGTGAAAAATCTAGCCAAGTGGAAGAAAGTCACCCCTGTTTCAGAGCGCATCTCCGACACATTCGTCGCGCTCAAAATGCTGCGCGAGGTTGATGAGGAACATAATCCTGTATTATTCTCCCAGGCTTATAATGGACGGATATACGCGGTGATCGATATTAGCTACGAAAACCCGGTGTATAACCCAGCCTCTTTGGAAAAGGGAGGCATCCATTACCACAAACATCCTACCGTGTCAAAGATCCCACCAACACCAGATGAGACACGAGACTTTATTGCCTTAGTCGATAGGCTTCAGAATGAGATTACAGAGAAAGTGGGAAAGTCTGGAAACCGGCAGACTCCACGCCCGGTAGTTGGGGTTCACTGCCATTATGGATACAATCGAACCGGTTTCTTGATTGTCTGCTATCTGATTGAACGTTGTGGGTATACCGTCCAGGAAGCAATTGACGAATTTGAAAGACGTCGTCCACCAGGCATCAGACATGGACATTTCATTGATACATTATTCGTGCGATATTGTGTTGGGCTCAAGAGAGCACCGACTCTATAGAAGACAGATTAGGTCTGGGGTTCTCATCCTTCTGCTGGTTGCTATTTCTCTTTGTCTCTCTTCTTTTATTCTATTACTATTCTCTTTTCTTTTCATTTTCGGGACTATGTGGCGTTCGGCTTGGGTTCACGGCTTGGGATGGTGTAATGATGAGTTATGACAGCTAGTGCCTTTTTGATAGACTGTACAGTAGCCAGTGATAAATACCAATTCTAATTTTTGTCTTTCATGATTATCCTCAATAAGTTGCTATGTAAGTACTGAATGGTACACTTAGAAGCAACACTAGCTCCCCCCATCTCTTCCTGCATTATCAAACTACGGCGTAAGTGACTAGTACGGAGTAGTTCAAGGCTAGTCGGGTACTAGGTCCAAGGTGTACGGTAAGTTTAGCCACTACTGTTTAGGGCCGTTCGGAGCCGTCATCTGTATCTCTATTGTGATGCCTGAGGCATAAATGTTTAGGGCTACGCTAGTCCATATACGGATCGATGATGCTTAGTCACCCACAAACCCACAACGAGAAACCGCGTGATTGTCCGTCCGAAATTTCGAGGTTTGATCTGACCGACCGACTCTCCAACGACGACAACGACCCATCCTCTCACCTCGTCCCCTTTTCAGTACACCTTCGATTCCCGCTCGAGGTTCAAAGTCGCAAAAATGGGTGGTGTCACCGTTCGCGATGTGGACGTAAGTTGTCCTGTCCCCCCTGCACCTAGACCTATATGTTCCTGAAGTCGATATGGCACCGGTATCTGGAAGAGGGGGAAACGGACGAGGGATCAACATTGCAAGGCAGGGAGTGAGGGGCAGAAATCTTGGGATGTTCTGGACGTGCTGGGTTATTGTGGGCACTGGTTTATGTGGACGACATGGATATGCCTCAATCGGATCGCAAAGCATCGATTGATGGGATCTGCGACTGGGATGCTTGGGATATACAACACCGCGATGGCCGCAACAAATTCCGAGAATCAGATACCGGAATATTGCCAGAGGATCTTCAGGAACCAAAATTGCAACGTCAGATCAAGCTAAAAACTTATACTGACGAATTTTCGAACTACAGGCGCAGAAGTTCATCTCTGCTTACTCTGCGTTCTTGAAGCGTCAGGGAAAGCTTCCCATCCCTGGTGCGTAATTTAACTGATCTTGTCTCACGATCAATCGGAAACTGATAATCTATCCAGGATGGGTTGACACTGTCAAGACCTCTTGCTCCAACGAGCTCCCTCCCCAGAACGCTGACTGGTACGACTGAACCAACAACACCGTTTGTTGCGCTTCCGACCCATCTGACAATTACTAGGTACTACGTCCGTGCCGCTGCCGTCGCTCGTCACATCTACCTCCGCAAGACCGTTGGTGTTGGCCGCCTCCGCAAGGTCCACGGCTCCGTCAAGAACCGTGGCTCCCGCCCCAACCACCACGTCGATGCCTCCGGCTCCGTCGACCGCAAGGTCATCCAGTCCCTCGAGAAGATCGGTGTCCTCGAGTTCGACGAGGAGAAGGGTGGCCGTCGCATTACCCAGTCCGGCCAGCGTGATCTTGACCGTATCGCCAAGACCACCGTTGACGAGGATGAGGAGGACGACGAGTAAATTAGCCTCGGATTAAAATAATGAAAAAGTCCTGATGTGTTCCACGTTGCCTCTTTTTTCCTTAATTTTTCCCTCTGGATACTAAATTTCCGGGTGAAAAATCGGGTTAAAAACGGTCGAGTACGCTTCGTCGGCATGGATCGAGTGGGATTGATGGCTATGGACTCAGGGAGAGGAATGAAGTTTCTTTATTGTTGCATATTACAATGTTCAATTTCCTGATGACTCGGGGGCCTACTACGGAGAATTCACCAACCTTGACTACCCAAAGACATCCATCTCTCTCTCCTTCCTATGTCTTATCGACATATCGCCTCGCCCTGATCCGATTCCCGACGGCATCTCGTGTTTCTCCCCAGGCCTGAAATATAGAGCACGTATGATATCAACTTGACAGATTCAAGCCTTGCATACGGGAGCGTAAGTTGAAACCGTAGAATGTATGTACAATTGTATCAATCAAGCCTCCTCTATCTATATCTACACATTATCTCTTCCCCGACTGCGCCGTAGGATCCTACAGTACCCAAAACGTCAGTCCCGAAACTCGAGACCAATAATAGATAAGAAGAACTCACCAAATAAACCTGATAGAACCGCATCTTCAACTCATTCTCATCAAAAACCACCCGTCCAGCCCAGGGCACCTCAACCTCATTCTCCGGGTCCGCCTTCAGCACATACCTAACCGTCCCATAGAGCATCAACTCCCGCTCACCCCCGAAATAAACCTTCGTCGGGAAATGCTTCCTCGACTGCACATGCGTCCAGAGACCATGTCGGAGATTGAGGATTTCTATTTCCACGGAAATACATATGTCAGCTCAATACACTCATCACCACTACAACGCTACCGTCCATTCTAAAAATTACAGAGTAGACAAGGCCATTTCGGATCAAGACGGAATGAGAAGAAAAAGAAAAGAGTAGGTGTGCGGGGGAGGGGAAAGGGAAAGAAGGAGAACCAACCTTTCTCGCCATTCGCGACCTTCGACCCCATGATTAGTGTTGCATCGGGGGTGAAACTCTGGACGTATTTCTCGTGCAGGGATTCGGTGTCGCTCGTTGCGTAGAACGATTCCATGAAGGTTATCATGGAGTCGCCGTTGGGCGGGGTGAGGGTTGGGTTGGAGGCGAGGTTGTAGGACATTTTTGTTAACTGTGCTCTTCTTTGTTTGGTGGGTTAATTGGGAGGGTATTTGGGTGTAAATGTTATCAGGATTTGGGAGGGGGGGTTTTCTAGATGGCTTTTTATTGCGTTCACGAGGGGTATATACTACTGTATGCTTTACTTGGTGATGTCAGTTTTGCTGGGTAAGCTGGGTAAGGTTGTTGTTTCGGGCCGATAGGTTTGGGGCTTTCCGATCGATATCCGATGGTTGTTTTTGGGGTCGGGGGTTGTGGTATTATGGTTGCGTTTTGGGGGTTTAGAGTTGTGGCTCAAGTATAACTAACTACTTTTATATTGGGTATATCTGGTACTTCCTGGGGGCGCTCAGTGATAGTGTTGTGGTATTCATGATTTATACAGTTGTATGTACTCTGTACACAGTCTGGAACAATTAAGCCTTCTTACGATCTTCTTCGACCTCTCTGAAATCCTCCCAGCTCGCCCGGTCGGTTCCGTTGGGTCGAGAAGCTCTCTCGAACTTGTTTTCGACACCATCAATTTCACAGATTGGTCGGACAACCTCAATATCCGCGTTGTAGGCCTTGGAGTACCATTTCTCTGTGAGCGCCTCTTGTCCCGAGGTACTATCGTAGAGATGAGGGAACCGGGCCTGCATGATCTTCAGAACAGTCGATGAGATGCGGTCCACGCTATCACAGTGTCTCAGCTTGAAGAATTCTGGGGGCTGCGCAGCTCGCATTTTCTCCTGCACCTCCTCGGAGTATTTTCCTACAGCAAAGAGCAGTAGATCGTAGTGCATCAGAGACGCTTTTCCATGGTAGGAGCCGCCAGTTTTCGCTCTGTGGTAGAGCCCAGTCAACGCGGCAATGGCACCCATGCAACCAGTGCCATAGTCTGAAATAGGGAATGGGGGCACCACCGGGTTCGACAGTCCCATAAATTGTCCCTGTGCCCAGGCAACACCGGTCACCTAGAGTCTCTGTAAGCTTTTTCCACGTTTATAAACGATTTGGAGTCTACTTACGCAGTCCGCAATCTGTTGCCAGCCTGCGCGGCCAGCCCATTCTCCCTCATACCCAAAGCAGTTCTCATTCACGTACACGATTCCCTTTCCACGTTTCTCTGCCAGGGAGGAAAGAGCTTCAGGGCCATATCCTAGTTTCTCAATGGCCCCTGGGCGATATCCATCCACGACCACATCTGCGTCAGCCAAAAGCTCTTCAAACTGGCGTCGTCCTTCTTCTGTTTTCAGGTCCAAATCAGCAGCGTGCTTTCCCATGTTACCATCCACTTGGAAGAATGGCACATCAGAGAGGCTCGGACTGGTGATCTTCAAAACATCTGCTCCATACTCGGTCAAGATGCGTGCAACGGTGGGCCCGGCAATGATGCGGCAGAGCTCCAGGACTTTAATTCCTTCAAGAATCTTCTTGCTCCCAGGACGACTAGCGGGAAAGGGTGTGGGAGGCAGGTCACCCTTGAGGCGGGACACCTTCCATGCGGGTTGTTGAACGTTAAGTTCACCCTAAACCGGAACCTGGTCAGTTTCATTGGTGCATACAAGACGGTATAGATGGCAGATAGTGCCACATACATGTGGAGTTTTGATGAAGTCTTCGTATTTAAAAGCTGTCACACCAGCTTGCTTTCTCGCTTTATTCATCTCTTCCAACTCTGCAGCTGTGTATTTCTGTACTTGACTCTCAATGACTTTAATGATCTCTTCGTAGTCTGTCAGATCTGGACGGTGACCATCCAATCCAATCATATTCAGTGTTGTCGTGGCCTCGAGGGAGCCATGGATATGGAAGTATTCGCCCTCGTTCTTAGTTTTGTATAAATTCGCAGACATCCGACGGTAACCATTGGACTGCGCCGCAAGCAAATCGGTATCTGAGCTGGTCAGCTAATGCTTTCATACGGAGATAGAGCTTCCCACCTTTCAACTTCTTTTTGACCTCTGGGTCCAGCTTAGACAGTCCGTCAACTTTTGCCATATAAGCCTGGCAACCAAAAGCTGTTGCTCGCTCAAGGTTAACCTTCACATCACGCTTTTGGGGCCCATAGCGCAGGTTCGCGATTGCAGCTGCCACGGATCCTTCGACACCTTTCAAGGCAGCCAGAGTTTCTGTCTCTTTGAAAGGAATGGGATAGTAGATCTCATCGTGCGCAGAGTCGAAGGATACTGCATTCTTGTTTTCTACAACCTCTGAAGGAAGATTGAGACGCTCGGCTTGGTCACAGAGGTAGGAAAAGATACGCCCTGTCTCACGGACAGGTGAATACACACTCCCCATTTCTGGTTTGCTGATAGTTCACGTGAAGGCGTTCGCAAAAGGATATATACGCAAGATATAGAAAGATGAATATAGATTGAACTTTATTTCGCAAGGAGTTATGAACAGCCCACGACAAGAGGTGTGGAGAAGATTATATATGACTGAGCTCTATATTTTCTTCGGAAGATAGAAGGGTACTTTAACGGTTATGGCGTTCTCCGGGTCAACTCCGAGAGAGCGTCCGATGTCTGTATGTGTGACGGATCGGCACCTGCAGGAGATGCAGTGGGCCTCTTTGCCGATTGATAGCAAATAATAGGAAGAAGGGCTTAGAGGTCATTGTGTGAATCAAGACCAACCCCGCAAAGAAGGTTGCTATCCGACAGATGCAGCGGGTCTGGAGCACTTCCTTTCGGATGTGAAGGTGATAGGATCGGATGCCGATAGGATAGTGTGCTGATGTAAGCGTCAGGCATTCGAGGCATCCATCACAATATGCCTGCATACTAAACAAGCATTATGTGCAAGCTAGAAGAGGCTGCCATGGCTACAAAATAACCAATTTTGCAAAGTCCTAGAGGTATAGTTGTATAAAGCCATATATGGTAGAGAAGTAATACATGTCCATGATAATAGTGAAAACTTAAGCACAGCTTCTATAAATTTCATCAAATGAACACTTTGCGATGGTCCATGTCTATCTACCAGTGATTAGGTTAACAAAATCAGTCGCAACTCAAGAATCTTGACTTGGCCGATCCAAGAATGTGTCTTATCGGAAGCCGTGCGATATCTGCAAGGGACAAAGAGTCATGGATAGGAATGCATTAATCTCCGTACTTCCAGTCTGCCGTAGATATATATCTGTGACAAAACAGTGAAAGAGTTGTACTGCAACAATACCATAGAGCCCAAGAGTATTGAACCAAAAACAGGGTTCATCTACACCTTTCGGGAGTACACCTACTCCCTTATACCTCCCTTAAACAATGCAAGGAGACCACCATTTATCCATAATTACAACTAAATGCCCTTAGATATCTGTACCCTTCTAAAATGCCTCCCTAGGTTCCGTTCGGGTGGTCTGGTTGTGAAGAAGAGAGACAGCATATATAATGCGCCAGTAATGCCAGCCATATCCTGGGTTCATATGAGCGCGCAGCATGCTCTTATTGAAAGAAAAGGGTGGCACCGCCGAAGACACTTGCAAAACGATAGTCAGCCTTACGCCACTGAAACCAAGGCTGGTATTCGATACTTGTAGAGAAATATCGAACAGGCGTACGAAAATTGGTACGCTCGTTGTCCTCGACCCCAATAGATTTCTGAAACGGACATCGTATCGATCTCTGTACACGTACTACAGACAATGGGCCGTTAGTCCCTTACTTCCTCAGTCAATGTTCCCCTGAGAAACTATATATAGTAAACACCATAGCGGGTACATCATTAAGCACTTGCAGCCCCCAGTCTTTATCAATTAACAAAGGTCTTGGTGGGCTCAATATTGTGCCGTTCTCCGCGAGTCTCTGATTCCCTCCGATGAAACGGAAACGGCTCGGACACAACGAGAAGGATGCAGACTGGATTTCGATCCAGACCAGTTGCGTAAATTAACTTGGCGCCCAGTTCACTTGGTAAATTTCATGGTCAGTTTTGCTGCCCTAGGTTCTATCTTTGACCTTCCTCCGGTTCCGGGCTCCGCGGGTTTACCATCTTGGTCATCAGTAATTAAGCGATGATGCCTAGAGGGATTTTGATTCAGGTGGGCACGCTGTAGGAAACATTTCCCCTGAAGTGTAGAAATTGCTGCAGGGTATAATGGTCTCGCCACTGTGCCTGACTGTTAACTACTAATCAGGGAATAGGAAGTTAGCCCTAAAGCACATACACATGCCCCCCCACCACCCCACCCCCACACTTCTATGATTTACAAATTCGCTGACGTTTTATCCTAAATACGCACAGGTCTACTGAGCACAGATACACAATCAGGGCTAACTGAATGAATACCTTAGCATCTAAATCCCTCAAGCCCCTTGAGACATGAGGGGAAGTATCCATTACCGCGGAGTTTGTCGGCTATTATACCTCATGGAGGAAAGGGCTGACGACATAAGCTGAGATGCTTGGACTTCAGACCCCACTTCCATGGCGCAGTAGATCCTGGAAATTGCAGCCGGGCACTGGCAGATGGTAATTAGAGTGAGAATCGTGATGCCTCCATACTCATAGATTACCGGTGAACAGAGGTCTATGCATTCACCCATGCGTCCAACGAATAAATTAATCATCGATGAGATTCAAAAAAAAAAAAAGACTCTCCCTTCATAGGTTGTACTATCAAGATAGACAAGGTTTCCAGCATAATGCAACCAGAAGAGAGTTTTACTTCTCAGCTGGTCAACGGAGCAAATCAGAGTAGAGTCTAGGATCACATTTTGCAGGCACATCCCACGATCTTCTCACTGCAGGGAGGGGGCGAGGGGAACCATTCAACGCATTCAGAGATGAGGTGGTGTTGAACGCCCACGTGTGACAATCAGGGAAAGTTATCGCGTACCGCGAATAGAATAGGGTTTCCACTCTGTTTTCCTCATGCAACCAAACTTCGCGCACGAGCACGAGGCATGCATCTTGATATGCTCGTCGATCCGGTACCCGAGGATTAGAATTGAGTGGAATGTCTTCGGCGTTCCAAGGATACTGGGAATCTTGTATAGAGGCTTGTACACCACGACATCATCGTGCTTTCGGATTGTGTTACTTTTGTGTTTGACGGTAAATCTTGGAAGTGGAGCGGGGGGAGGTTGGAGTATGAGTTATTATCATGACATATGTGGATTCATTCATCGTATTTGGGGTATACGGAACATGTCGAAGGTGTACTAGGTACTTTGCTTAGAGTACCTGGTTCGTTTCTAATGAAGTCCAATCTCATACTAGTACCATACTTTGTGTATCTGTGCGTAGACAATTACTCGGAGTAGGATGGCAGCAAAGGAAAGAAAGAGCGCGAGATAAGCTAGTTACAGGGCGTAAATTACGATACCGAAGGGTCGGTACTCCGGAGAAGGTCTGGATCGCTCCGGAAGGTCCCGGCGCTGTCTGAAGCGGGCCTGAGGAGTGTCAGCCAATGAACAGGCCCACGCGAGGCGATAGACGGTTTCTGTTCGTACGCAACCATGTATTCAAGATTACCACGATAGTGTGGGAACTATAAGGAAAAAGGAGAGATAAGAAGGTCGCACTGGCCCGACAAAATGTACATGGCATGCATGTACTCCGTACTTTCCTCTTAGTACTCCGTTACTCTCCCCATAAAAGGAGTAAGGACCCGGAGTCCCTGGTATTACTCATACCGTACCTTCTTTGCCTGCTGATCATCCGGCAATCAACTTTGTGGCCGCCTGACTTGACATTCCATCCGCGACTGCTATTATTATTCGTACTATTAGTCCTGACGGGCTTTGCTCCTTACTTTCCCCCCTCCTCTTTCTCTCTCTTCTCCTTTCATCAAAGCTGTCCTCTCTCTCTCTCTCCTCTCCAGAAACAAAGCACAGTCAAGGATTACAATCGGTTCATCTTGTCGATATTCTCCTTCGTTCCTGAACTCTACGGTTCCGACGGTCGCGTGCCTCTAAAGACTATCTGAACTAGCGCGTCGCATCGCATCTACCCTGACGTATCATATCATTGCTGCATCTCAGTTTCTGCGGTCAGTCTTTAGCCAGTGTGCGGTAAGTTGCAGCCTCCCTCTCCCCTATTTTCAAAAGTTCCCTCAGGGTTCTTTGTTTCCAAAACATTGTTGGTTCTTTGCTTGTCCATGGTTCTGTCTGTACATACATAAGCACAACCACTCTTTAGGTACCCAGTCACCATCCCTCCCACACTTCAGGTCGTGCCTTCCGGTTGGTGGATTGCTCTTCTGACTCATGTGATTACAGATTAGCCACCACAACTACTAAATAATAATACTTCTTCTTTCTCACCATCATGGCTGCTCAGACGACCACCTCTAGCATTGCAATGGCGCTTGCTGGCAAGACAGCCTCTGTGGATATCCCCAAACCTCGTTCTGCTTTCACTTCTGGTGGCCGCGATTCCTCCCGTTCAGGTCATACCATGCTACCGACTCCCCCTAACTCTATCTCCCCAACGCTTCCACCCCAGGCCTTCAAGGGCCAGGACGTGAGGCATCCCGCATCTCCTCCTTTTGCCACATCTCAGGTTGATTCCGATATCGATTTGGGCGACGCCGATGCAGACAGTCAGAATCAGCACCATCAGGGTGTTGGTGATCTTGACAGCACTGGGACAATCACCCCCAGTATGCTAGCCAAATATCACCTACCGGACATCATGCTACAGCACGGACCCCTCGCCATTCGCCATGTCATGGGCTACTTGACAACTTCAGTGCCCGGGTTTTCTCGAATTCCTCCCGCTAAAGCACGACGACTAGTCGTTGCGGCATTAGAAGGTCGGGGAAGTGATGAGAAAAGTGGCGGTCCTGCAAATGATGTTATCTTTGAGAAAGTTGGATGGGGTCGTTGGGACGCACGACGTCGCGGCGAACCCTCACGGGATGCGCAACATCAGAACCTATCGCCACCCTCTAGCTTCTCGAACTCCTTCTCTCAGCGAGGGATACAGATCCCCGGGAAGAGAGGGAGTCTTCAGCCTTACGGGTCCAGCGTGACTGGCGACTCGGCTGTCTTCTCGTTTACGGAAATGGATTATGCTGGACATATTTCGGAGCATGAGGCGGATAAGATGTCACTCGATGGGAATGACCAGGAGTACTGTTCATCTTCCGAGGCTCCAGAAGATGAGATTCAGGATGAGGACTGGGGCGAAGAAGATGTCACCGACGAAGAGGATTGGGCACAAATAGGTGCTGCAGCGCTTCGTGCGCGGTCCTTGAACGGCGGGGGCGGTTTCGTCCACGGACTCCATCCATCGCCACAACTTCGGGGTGGTGGGCCTGCATCATCCTCTTTGGCGAAGTCTGCGCCGCGCAAGCCTCCTATTCAACAACTTGGCTTCTCCCTTCCAGACGGTATGGTAGGCAATACCGAGGAGCGTGCCGCGGTGGAGGCGCTTTTGCGTCTCGGATCCATGTAATGTTATATCTTGGACAAAGGACCCGGCTCAGATTATGCCCGTTGCGTTTTATATCTTGGAGCTTCATGGCCGGTCCTTGGCTCAAGCATGTTTTTTCTTTGTTTTCTTCACGTTCTACGACTCACCTTTGAAAGGGATGTGCCAGCTAACTCGACTGGTTCGAGGTGTTGGCTATGATGCATTGGGACTTGGATTGAACTGGCGTTCTCATGGTATTTTCTCTTGCAGCCGAGACCGCTGCAAGTTATTGCATTATGCCTTAATGGCTGTCTTTCCTTTTTTTCCTTCTTCGCATTCCCTTATTTGTTTGTGGGTTCTGCAGTGACTTCGATAAATATCCTGCTACCCTGTACTCCTCATTGCATATGCCCGGATAATAGGGCAGTCATCTCTACTCTCTACTTTGCATTATAACATACCGAGAGTTGTATCATCTCGATCATCGTCCATATGATTTTTTTGGCCGACACAGAAATTATTGACGGCATTATTGACGACCGGAGACAGAATCTGCGGTTGTGGAAATACGATCTTATATAGAACTAATCAACGTTTGCCTTCAACGGCGACAAGACATATAATAGAAGCATACATACTCATTATTCCTAAGATTGAGAATGGGCCCATCAGAGCCTTGCTCCGCATTGTAGTCCTGTATTATTGGCCACTCTATAATTCAGCTCTTTAAGAATTTAGTGCTATCGATAACCAATGCATTTTTTAAACACCCTGATAGAACCACCAATGATTTCAACGCATGGAATACACTGAAGCGACAGAACAAAAATATACAACTAATACCAACCAATCCCATCAAAGCAACAACTCCATTCCAACCCACTCTGAAGCCTCCATCATACAACCATGAACCAAAAGAAGCCCAACACAATTAGAACCCTAGAAAATACAAAACAATTTCCCCCCGCAAAGCAAAATCACCGTACGAATCTACTTATCATGAGCTTCATTAATCCTCCGCCAAACCTCAGCTTCAACCTCCGCCAGCTTATTCCCCGCGCTCCAGAACCACGCTTTGGCATTGTCAAGAAATCCCGATTCACCGGTCCCTATTTCAGTGTTGGAAGAGGTATAGTGCAGCGGTAGCTGGGACGGATTGCCCGAGAGAGATGTATTGTTCGCTGTACTCGTCGGCGGCTGGTAGAGCGATGCGTAGGGTGTGGACGTTGAATTCGGGACCGCGGTTTGCGTTTGAATGTGCGTATTGGGATGTCGTTGTGTTAACGACGATGGGGAGTAGCTGTAGCTGTACCCAGATCTGGGATTTGGGTGTGAAGCGGTAGTTGGGGGAGAGGTGGATGTAGTAGCAGTAATAAGAGTAGGAGGAGAAGCAGTAGTAGTAGTAGGGTTAGACTGGGTACTTGCCGCCAACGGTGCTTGTGCTTGTGGTTGCGGGATATCGGCTGGTTTGGGTGGTGGAGGGTTGGAAGGAGATGGCTCTGTTGGTTCTTGGGTTGCTGGTGGTGGAGGATGTGGTTGAGCGCCGGGTTGGGGTGGTGGTGGTGAGGTATTAGTAGTCATCGTCGTCGTCGTTGTCGTCGCGGCGGTGGTGGTAGTAGCTGGTTCTGGGGGCGGGTGTATAGGGGCTGTTGGGGGGTCGGTTGGTGCTGGGGCGGATTGCGAGGGCATACTGGCTGGTTCGGCGGTGGCGTAGATTGGGGAGTAAGGTGGTGCTGTTGCTGTTGCGGAGGTGGTTGGAGGGTCGAGATCGTCCTGCTTGGAGGTTGGATCTGGAGATGGGCTTGGAGAAGAGGTCTGAAGGCTATCCTCCTGAGTGCTTGAATTCGTAGCCATGATGAAAGTTGTTAGTCTGATATGTCAGATATGTATCCGTATACTTTAGTCATATGGCAATATTGTTCAACTAGTGCAGGGAGCTATCGCAAAAGGGAGCTCGAAAGCTATTATTATCTGCCACTGAGAGCCTACGTCATCAAAAAGGGAAAATACGTGAAATTGATCATGTGACTTCATTTATTGACCGCCTTACAGAGTTTTCAGACACGTTTACAAGACGACGAAAACCAAAAAGACAGGCTATTTGATATCGCATCATACTGGGAATGAAGCAAAATTGGAAAAAAAAGGAAATAAAATAAACTTGCAGGCAGTAAAGTACAACTGGTACAAGGAAATATCACAGTGCTCTATGCTCAAGATTACACAGTCCCTTGACGCATATCTCTAAATTTTCAGCATCTGGCAATTACGCCAGATCACTCCCCTCCATTAACGTCACATCTGAAACGAATTGAAGTTAATCAATCGTCTATTTGAACTTCTTGCCGAAGAGGATGAGCTGGACCTGATCGTAGATAGACAGGACACCAGCACCGGCAACACCACGGAGGATGTTAGCACCGGCACCCTTGAAGAGAGACTTGACACCCTCCTTGGCGACGATCTGGCGGAAAGCATCGAAGGAAGAGTTGTACTTGACGGCCTCACCGGAGGTCATCATCATACGACGACGGACGGTGTCAAGAGGGTAAGAAGCGATACCAGCACCAGTGGTGACAGTCCAGCCGAGAAGGAAGGAAGCAAGGAAGTTACCCTCAAGAGGACCAACCAGGACAACAGGCTTGATGGAGTCGTACATGCCGAAGTACAGACCACGGTAGACAACAATACCAAGAACAGAGGGACCGAAACCACGGTAGAGACCGGCAATACCATCAGAAGCAAGAGTCTTCTTGTAGACGTCAACGAGACCGTTGAACTGACGGTCACCACCGCCCTTGGCGGACTTAGCATCGTTGGCAAGACGGGTACGGGCGTAGTCAAGAGAGTAGACGAAGAGAAGGGAAGTGGCACCAGCAGCCTGGAATAGTTTGTTAGAAGTTATTCGACAAGGGGGTTTATTGTTGGGGAACATACACCACCGGAGGCAAGGTTACCCATCATCCACTTGGCGTATCCATCACGGTCCTTCTTGTAGGCGAACATGGACTTGTAGGTGTCACGGAAGGCAAAGTTAAGAGCCTGGGTGGGGAAGTAACGGATGACGTTGGCAGTGTTACCACGCCAGAGAGAGGCAACACCCTCAGAGGCGGCAGTACGACGGAAGCAGTCCATGATACCGTTGTACTTGCGGTCGAGACGACCGGCGCGAAGCATCTCATCCTGGTTCTGGATGAGGAGCTTGATACGCTCGATGGGGGCGGCAGCGGTCTTGGAGACAGCAGCGGAAACACCACCCACTGTTGAGATTAGTTAGTACATGTCGCATCATAATTACACGTCTGGAAGACTGCATTGATGGGAATTGGTCGATTTGGCTTTGGCCAACCGATCAAGGGGTGTTCAGGATGAACATACTCAGGAAGTCAACGACGAATCCCTGTTGTGAAAATTCTTGTTAGCTATCAATTCTTTGATCAATTGCGTGCCACCGCGTCAAAACTCCAGAATCCCGATTTCCTGATGCTTGCGATGATTCTTTCGATGGCATCGATGCCATACGATCCATCGTAACCAGGAAGCGCGTGATCCGAAGTTTTGGCCAACACAGCTAGGAGCAATAGCAAGGCAACTTACGGGCATGCCGAAAACGGACTTGTCGCCCTGGTTAACGGACATCTTGGCGGCTGTGAAGAATGAAAACTAAACAACCAAGAGAGGAGATGGATAAGAGAGTGATGAAAGAAAGAAGAGAAGAAAGAAGGGAAAGGGAGAAAAAATAGCGAGCGAAGGCTCTTGTAAGCGGGAAGAAGCGAGCGGAGACGCTAAGACCGCTTTAGGATACGCTGGCCAATTTCGCAGTGGCAGCGACCGGCAGTCCAGGGAGGAAGGGGAGAAAAAAAAAAAAAAAAAAAGAAAAACTGGAACCGGCGCTAATGCTGGCCCAGGCAACCTGAGCCGATATCTCCCGATCGCTCCAGAAACCGTTCCGACTGATTTTTGTCCAGGTGAGATACTCCCAAACAAGATGGGAAAAAATTCTAGATTAATTGGCTTTGATAATTACTATCAAGAACTATTGAGTTGATTTTCTTTAGACAGAACCTGTTTCTATAATATGTTTTTCGTCTAGGGGGGGGCGCTCCCATCGCTGTTAGATTTTCTCGGATGCATACCGAATCGGTCGTTTTGATACTGTACAGAGAAGGTTCAAGGTTCCCATAGTCCTTGGGAATTTTCCCTCCCTTTCCCATTTCCCCGTGACCGAACCAACAAACAATTGGAGCCTCTCCGCTCAGAAACAGACGCTCACACACCCACACCCACATGGGGAAGTCCGCCTTCTTCCCTTTGGTCCCGAGTATCCGATGGCAAATCAAATTTTAATCGGCAGCGGACATCGACTCCTTGGCCTGACTTTTGTCTTCGCCATACGGAAAATGAACTAGGCAAGTTCAAGGTGATCACTAAATCTCTTTGCCGTTCCGTACCATATAGCTGTATGAAATTCGTAATTGTCTCTGAAGCTAACGTCGGTCGTGTGCGCCGCCGGCTATCGGTTGCCATGGCGTTCGAAACTTCGTACACCGTCTGAAGAGCACTTTGATATCTTGAATATTACTCCGGACTAGTCAGTTTCATCCTATTTCTCCCATTCGCCGTCTCCTCAAGCTTCGATATTCCTTGGTCTCAGCATCCATAGCTTGCAGGGCTGATGATGGCTAAATCCCTCATTTCCAACTATTCACTCCCAAGGTTTCTCATATGTACTGTACCTCAAACTACCTCGGATATCAATAGGTACTATTGATACATACGTGTCCAAGCAAATTCTACCAAAAGAATTTCAGACCTGTCATTACGAGAGATATAGAATATTACGCTTGGTCAATTTATTCTTATCATGGTCTATTTCCGCATCAACACTGGGCCAAACATTGTTCTTAGTATAATTATTAGCTATAAATATTCGTAGTCCAAAGAAGACACGATGTCAAGAGGACGGTTCCATACGGATCCACACGGCTTCCTTTTTTTTTTTTTTTTTAAACTCTCCAAATCATTTTCTCCTTTTCATGACGGGGCAACAAAGCTAGTGGAAAACTCCTCAGTCGCCCGTTGTAACAGAGACCCACCAAACATGGGGGTCCATCTTTCGTTCTGAATGTTCACAGCATCAATCACTTGCTCGCCATCCTGGTCATGGTTAAAATTGCCTGGTTTTGTAAAACAAGCAGGGCTTGAGCCCCAGGTCCAAGGACTCGGATTATTCCGTCAAGGAAGAGAGAACTTGCCACTTCTCTTTTCGATTCTAGACTCGTAAAATCCTTCATTCTACCGAATTGCCACCTTTCGGATACCGCTTGGCAAACGCTCGGTGGCCCGGCGGTCGAGAGCCAGATTTTACGGCTTCAGCTGGGCAGAAAATGCTCTTGGTATACTCCGTACAGTACATACATACAAAATTTAAACGTAGTCCATCGGAGCCTGATGTATAGAAATGCAATGGTATTAACAACTTCTCTACAGGCATTGACAATCCCTACTTTCCTTCATATATATCATGCATCGCTCACGTGCGAACCTTCTACTTCTGGCATATTCAAAGACCCATTTATTCTTTTGGTAATCCCGATAAATACAAATGCAACTCCACATAATGAAAGATATCAAACGTCCCGGATGTAGATGGAACTCCAATGCTAGAAGTAATTAAGCGCTAGGCTTGCTGTCAGACACCATTAGTGCTTCTTCGACCTCTTTCTCTTCTTTCTTCTGGGTTCTCCCTCCCGGATATCGACATTTCCAGCATCAGTGGCATCTTCTTTCTCGTTAACCGTTCTTTCACCACCAAAAACAAACGCTGGACCATCTTCGTTGCCAAATGTATCCTTGCGCCATTGTCTCAGACGAGCTTTCTTGCCCAATTTCTTCTGATCGCGACGCTTCTTCTCCGGATCACGGAAGGAAGCAAGTTTCTTCAATCCGGCATACTCGTTGAGCTGGGTATCCTCAGCCATCAGAATGTCTCGTGCAGTCAGACCGAAACTGTTTGGAGATGTTTCACGGTAGCGGAAATGGCCCTGATGCTTCTTTGCACCGGGGAGAAGGTTAATATCCAGATCCAGATTACGATCCACTGCCTCTTCAATGCGTAGTCGATCTTTGCGAGCTTCACGCTTCTGATCCCGCCTCTCCTGCGCTTTGCTCTTTTTGTTTTTGGATGCGCTCTCATCGCCCTCGGCGTCGTCTGCATCATCCATCTCAACATCGGACTGCTGTAGGTCAGGTTTCTCGTCGTCATTGTCAAAGTCTGGTACAAGATCCTTGATATCGATATCATCATCCCAAGTGGGCTTCTTGGGTTTCTTTTTACCATCACCTTCTCCAGCATAATAATCTTCGCCAAATCGCTTTTGCATCTCTTGCTCCCACTTTTGGTCATCCCAGGAATCATCCAAGAACTTGGCCCATTCTTCGTCAGTGAACTCAGATGCGCGGAGGCCTGCGACTTCCTTGATTTGGTTGACCTTCTCTTGGAGCTCTTCCATCTTAAGCTTGCGCAGTCGGTTCTTTTCCGTTTCACGTTGCTTCTTTTCCTCTTCCTTTTTCAAGCGCTCCGCCTCCCTCTGCTTCTTCCTGCCGCTCTTATCATCTCTGCGAACTGATTGCTGGTTCGTGGCATCACGAGCGTGTGTAATCAACGCTGTGTTGATTTTGCTAGGGTCTTCGAAGCGGAAGTTGTATGCTTCTTCGAATGCCTCTGCCCGTGCATCATCCTCTTCATCATCGGACTCGAGAGGCTGAAGGTCTGCTCTGCCTGCAGGGATCCATGCCCTAGCTGACAGAAAGTTGGACAGGAAAGTCTCGGGATCTTTGTCCGCATTCTCAATGTCCAGCTTGACGTCCTTCTTCGGCGCCGATACGGGCTCAGGGGCTGACTTGGCAACGAGGAAGTCTTCATCGTCGTCACTCTCCTTGTCGGCGGATGCATCCTCGTTGTTGGTAGCCGCATGCATTTCCCTGACA